CTAGCATAATGGCTCGACTGGCTAATTTTTCACCTCCAAGCACCAGCATCCTGTATGAGTGCCGGTTCATGTCCCAGCTGCTCCACTTCCCATCCAGATCCCTGATACGGTCTGGGAGAGCAGCGAAGGATGGGCCAAGTCCTTGGGACTATGCACCTGCATAGAAGATCTGGAAGAGCTGCTGGCTTCAGATCACCTCATCATCAGCTGTTGTGGCCATCTGGGAAGTGAAACAGTAGATGAAAGATGTTTCCCTCTCTGTGTCTCCTTTTCTCTATAAATCCGCCTTTCCAATGAAAATAAGTAAATATTTTTCTTTTAAATTACAGTAGTGAGAATTATTTGCTTCCTGTCCTCTAGAATGGAAGCTTGAGTAATGTAAAATTAAAGCACAAGTGCTGGGGCTGGTGCAGCAGTGCAGCAAGGCGATCCTCTGTCCTGCGGTGCTGACATCCTATATGGGCACTGATTTGTGCCCACTTCCTACATCTTTTTAAAAAAAGATTTATCTGTTTTTATTAGAAAGATAGATTTACAGAGAGAAGGAGAGACAGAGAGAAAGATCTTCCATCCACTAGTTCACTCTCCAAATGGTCATGATGGCCACAGCTAAGCCGATCCAAAGCCAAGAGCCAGGAGCCTCTGTTGGGTCTTGCTCACAGTGCAGGATCCCAAGGCTTTGGCCATTCTCCACTGCTTTTCCAGGCAGTAAGCAGGGGACTGGATGGGAAGTGGGAGCAGCCAGGGCACAAACCAGTGTCCATACAGGATACTAGCACTCCCAAGATGTAAGGATTTAGCTATTGAGCCATCACACCCAACTGCTCTACTTCTGATGCAGCTCCCTGCTCATGGTCTAGGAAACCAGCAGAGGATGGCCCAAGTCCTTGGGCCTTGCACCTTTTTGGGATCTGGAAGAGGTTTCTAGCTGCCAGTTTTGAATCAGCTCCACTCCGGCTATTGTGGCCATTTGGGGATTAAATCGGCAAATGGAACGTATTCTCTATCTCTCCTCTCCCTGTAAAATCTTTCATATAAATCGTTAAAGTAAACCCACATGCAATGTCATATTATACATGGAATTGCCTTCCTGGAATGAAACATACTTTTCCATCCTTTAAACAGGGGGTATTGGCCAGATTCATTTGAAAGCGAAGTTACAGAGAGAGAGCGTGAGAGGACCAGGGGTGGGCTGGGCCAATGCTGGGGGGCTGGAATCTCATGCAGGTCTACCCCGTAGGCGTTAGTGCCTAAGCACTTGGACCATCTTCCACTGTTCTCCTAGGCACGTTAACAATGGGCTGGACCAGAAGTGGAGCATCTGGGACTCAAACTGAAACTCATATTGGAATGCTGGTGTTGCAGATGGTGGCTTAGCCAGATCTGCCACAATGCCTACTTCAGATATCAATTAGATTTTAGTTATGTGATTCAGACTCACTAGGAAGAATATGATTGTTGTTCTGAGATGTCATATATCAAAGCATATTGAAGTAAGTGAATATTTTTGCTACATTTAGAATGGGAGGGGCATGGTGTAGTGGGTTAAACCTGGCATCTCATACACGCACCAGTTAAAGTCCCAGCTGCTTAGCTTCCAATCTGGCTTCCTGTTAATGCTCCTGGGAATGTGTTGAAGGTGGCTCAAGTACTCGGACCCCTGCCACCTTCATGGAGACCTGGATGGGTCACCATATCTCTTAGCGCACAGTCAGTGGGAAGCTAACCATTAGGTGTGTGCTAAAAGCAAGAACAGCAGGCTCGGTACCAGATTCTGAAACACCTGCTGTGAATCCAAATGCTTGCATGAGCTTGGGTGGGATCAGAGTCAGGGTTAGGGTAGGGAGTGGTTTAATTTGGCTGCATAGAGACCCTTGCTGTCTACTTCTTAGTTCTAGTCTGTTTTCTAAGGGATTAACCCAGCACGGGACTCCTGGACCAGTTCAGGGCATATTATCTCAGCAGACTTTCCATGCAGTAACATTTCTTAGGTCAGGAAAAAATTGTTACCAGGCATAATGGTCAAATCTGTGTCTGTTAAGGAAGCAGGATCTGTGCAAACAAAGGAAAAAATTGTAATTAAACACCATCTTTCTCAAATTCATCAGTGAAGAATTTTCACAAAAATCCCTGTAAACCACACCACAGTTACACTTCTAAATCATTATGCTCTGTTCCTATTTGATGTTTCAGTTCTGTTTCATTAGCTGAGGGAAAGAATTGTCAAGCAAGACAGTGCACAGGGCTGGGACCAGCAGATCTGGGCTGTGTTCCCGCTATCTGAGTGACAACTCTCCATGTATCTGAGCTCCAGCTGCTGCTATCTGCAGGGCTAGTCCAACATCTTGGTGGAAATGCACACTTTTGGGATGCCTAACTCAGAACTACCTTTTCATAAGCTCTCCAGGTACATTGCAGGTGGAGCACGACACATGTAAACAGAGATACCTGCAAGTCCCAACCTGCATGGCACAGGTCAGGAGAAAATGGGAGACTTGTGCCCACATAGGGTGTGGAAATTCTTTGTTCTTAGTCTCAGGAATTGGTTCCTATGCCACACGAACTGTTCTTAGATTTTTTAGTAAAAGCTGGAAATTCTTGTGTGAGAGCTCCCATGTTTAAAATGTAGAATTATAAATCATGTAAACAAGCATGGAAAAAAAATTGGGTTATCAGAACCCAAGCCCACTGAAGGGTTAGAGCTGGCCCAGGGGCTGCTCATATATGACTCATGATGTGAACCATATCTGAGGTTTCTTCCAGTTCTTGCTGAAGGGCTACACTGTGCTGATGCCATACCTAACTCACCCTTGCCAAGATGGCCTGCTGAGCCAGTTTCACAGAGTCAACCAAAAAGAGAATGCATTTCAATGTCTCATTTTCCTTACAGGTTAGTTTCTACCAAGCTTGAGATTAGAGAAAACTGGAATTGGGGTGACCTGAGGTGAGCGAGACAATATTTCTCCTGCACCATTTTCAGCCATACAGGTTCAACCCAAGCCTGGGATGACTCCCAGAGGGTGCAGAAGCAGGAACCTGTGAAAGGACAGTTGTTGACATTCAAGAGCCAAGTGAGGTCTTATTATGTGGCAGCACACACTACCTCCTTGGGGTAGTGAGACTCCCAGTCTCCATATGTGTATTGCACTGAGTAGACCCGGTCCCCAGGGCAAGGTGTCTGTTTCCTATCCTCCTGTCCCACACATGAATAGCCGGAGGCTCTGAGAGTGAGAGGACATGATCACATCATCGAACTGGTCAGGGCTGAAGCCACGGCATAACCCCTAACCCCAGATGCTCTGGGTCCAAGTCCTGCAATGCTGCATGTCCACTTAGGTTTCAGTGGCCAAACAAGTTTTTGAAAAACCTTGGTTAAAACAAATATTAAAAGGTCCCTGAGCACAGGGTCCATCAGTAACTCTGACATGCTGAGAGACTATTTGAGGGAGGGATATTCTATTCCCCAACTTATTTAGCCATGAGAATCCTTTACCCTGACTTGGTGTTCTACTTGGAAGATGTGGTTGGTGCCCCATTCTTCTATGAAAAGACAGACTTGATGAGTAGTTTTATGCAAGCTGTCTGAAGCCCTAAAAGGGTTTTGTGGGCACTGATAAGAGAAAAGCCAGGGCATTAATTATGACCTCAGACACCACCTGAGGCATCGGGAAGGGAACTAAGTAACTAGAAATATTGCACCTCACTCAATCTGTTCAACGCCCTGTTTCAGTCCAAGGGTGCATAAACACCTCCTCTAGTTTGATACGAGTTTAGCATTTCGTTTTTAACAGGATATAAACTGCAACCCTAATCACATGCGAGGTGATCTAGACACATTTCTTTCGTGAAAAGCAAGAAGGAAAACAAAATCACCAGGTGTCGTGGTCACCTCCATGGCCGATGCTGAAATTGTAGAATAAACAGGCATTTAGAAGACACTTCTGCATTTGCAAAATTTGTACCCTGAGTACATTAAAATGGATGTAAACAACTTCTGAAATGTGAAGCTAGCACTAAAAAATACAGGGACTCATGGGGGTAGGAAGAGGGTGACCTTCACTGGTGATGGAAATAGCCCCCTGGAGACCAAGGCTGGCTTGTTGATGTCCTGGGCAGTGACTACTTGTTTTGACCAGACTAGTTTTATGATAATACCAAGTTGTCTAGTACTGCGGAAAAGTGCTAACATAGTAACGGCTGTTATGCCCCCTGATTCAACATTCACTTATTTTCTTAAAAACTCATTTCTATTTAAAAATGTGTTTATTCATACATATATTTAAGAGAAGGAAAAACAGATCTTTCATCCACTGGCTCACTCGCTAAATGTGCCCTAGCCCACTGCCTTCCCTGGTGCGTTAGCAGAGACCTAGCTCAAAATGGAGCATCCTGGGCTCAAACTAGCACCCACAGGGGACACTTCATTGAGGGCTGGCTTAAGCTGCTGTGCCAAACTGCTGGACTCATCTGGTATTAACAAGAGAAAACAGATAAGACAGAAGTTGGGCTGACTTGAAATGACAGAAAGTGATCTCCAACTGTAAAGGCCAAAAGGAAACAACGTTGAGGAATAGAGGAAGCAACAATGCAACACAGTCAGCTTTAAAGCTCAAAACAGACCATTTGGGGATGGAAATTAGGAACGGCAGTTACCCAGTGGCAGCAAGAGACAGAGCTGGGGACTCCCTAGGGATGGCAGAGCCTGCAGGCTCTCTGGGGAATTCACAGTTCTGAGTCAAGCACAGGGTAGACTAGCATAGTTAAGGCTGAGAACAAGCAGGGGGTCTCCTGGGTCCAAGGTCAGGGTAGGAGGTGGAATTGTTGTGACCAAGAGTGGACTCTGTATCTGTTGTCCCCTGAGCCTCAGAAAGCAGAGACTGACCATCCATGGATGTGTATTTGGTGACCTCAATAGGACCCGAGACCACTCCATGTTCATTCCCAGATTCTCACCAAGGGGCTTGGTCCTGGCAGCCTAAGGAGAAAGCTGGAGTGAGTACCTGAGCAGATGACCCCAGCGTCCTCGTGGTGGCCACAGTTGTGCACGGACAAGCCCAGATGGCGGCACTGGCCCAGTGAGGTCTCGTTGCCCTGACACTGCACGTCGTCCAGGAGGATGCTACCCATGCCATCCCCGAAGTGGCCATGTGCTACCGCGCGGATGCCTTTCCCACAGCCCAGTTGCCGGCACACCACATGGGCAGCACTGATGTCCCAGAGGTCGTCACACACGGTGCCCCATGTGCTGTTGTGGTAGACTTCCACGCGCCCTTCACAGGGGCTGCTCCCATCCACCAGTCTGATGACGGGCAAGTCTGGAGAAGACCCACAGTTAGGACTGGAGTGAGGTGGGCGATGTCCAGGAGCACCCTGCTTTAGTTTGCAACACAATACAGCCCAAATTCTAGAGGACTAGTGACTCCTTCTTCTGGGATGCCTGGGACTTATCACTTACAAACACAGTGCCCAGCCTTCCTGGGCCATCTCCTACTTTACAGTGTTTTGTTCCATCATTTCCATTATAAGGATGAGAATAAATGCTTATTTTGGAGCCAAGCCATCAAATTAATGGGCAGTAGCATCGAGTTATGTCACATTCAGTTTTTTCCTGCTCTCCTCTTGGCAACACCCACCTCTAGGTGCAAGTTCAAAGTCAGAAATATTTTTAAGAACCAGACACAAGGGACCCAATGTGATGGCTCAATTAGTGAAACCTTCCCTTGCAAGCATTGGGATATTATTTGGGCACCAGCTCATGTCCTGGCTGCTCCACTTCCCATCCACCTCCTTGCTTGTGGCTGGGGAAAGCAGTAGAGGATAGTTCAGAGCCTTGGGACCCTGGGGAGACTCAGAAGAAACTCCGGGGATTAACTCAGCTCTGGCCACTGTGGTCATTTTGATCTCTCTCTTTTTCTTCTCTCTGCAAATCTCTTTCCAATGAAAACAATAGATTCAAAAATGAAGAAGAACCAGAGACAAGCACCAGGCAGCTCTGCTCATCACCTCTCCCTCTGCAGCAAGTCTGAACTTTCTCTGTCCTGTGGGAGGCATGAATGTAGGCTAGCACCTGCAGAACTGGCTGTAAGCTCAGGGAGCCCTTAGAAGGATGGATGGGATAACCAAAGGCAAACATTACCGACTGTGGGAGCTGATTCTGCTGACACTGGCATCACCCCAACTGCTGGAAGAGAAAACCCAAGGTGCTGTGTGAGTGGAGGGGAATGCTGGCAAAACTCCTGATGGAACACAGACTGAGTGACCAGAGGAGTTCTTTCATGCCTGTGGGGGGGGGGGGTTCAGAACATTCTGGAAAGGGCAGCACCAACATGGGGAGCACTGCACTGCAGAACATTAAATCCACACCAGCCACCTCTTGCTGGCCTGGTGAGACCCTGCTCTTCTGATGGTCCCCAGATGCTCCTCCCTCAGCTCTACCTGGAGGTGTCTGGGGCCTGTTGGGAGATCAGTCATGAGGCACTGGAAGAGGAGTGTTTGATGTGGTTTCAACTGAGTTTTTATCCTGAGACATCATGATTATTTGAAACATCAAACTCTCAATTTTCAGATTAAAGAGAACTCACACAATGATGAAGTGGGATAGAAATATTCATGGGATGAGAAGTCGTGGATATTTGGGGCACACAGTTGTTTAGTGACAAAAGGCATTTCCATTCAACTTCTTTGCGTGGCTGCACGGAGTGCCTTGTGCAAGGGGGTCAGTCCAGGTCACAAGCAGAACAGGGGTTTAGTCATGCGTGGTTTTGAGGAGGAGCTTTCCAAAATATGTGTGATCTTCAGCTTCACCTGGATCTTAAAACACATCAGAAGCCATTCCTGGCTGCCCCAGAGCAGAAACACAACTCCTGGTTGAGGGGTGTTCTGCTTACAGATCTCTTCTGGGCCAGGGAGAAGAGCCTGAGACACGGGGCAGGGGACCTTCCTCCACTGACCCTAGGGAGACCAACATCCTGGGTCCTCTGAGTTCACAGGGGAGTCTCAGGACTTGGAATGTGCAGTGTTAAAACCAGGACAGTTCTGGGCATTGCAGGACAACTCATTCACCCCACCTGGGCCCATAGGCTGGGGAGAGTGGGTACTGGGTGCTGCTTCTGTTGCATGGTAGGGAAAGCTGGTGTTGCAGAGGGCAAGTACCTGAGCAGATGGCCCCGGCATCCTCGTGGTGGCCGCAGTTATGGACAGACAGGCCCAGGTGGCGGCACTGCCCCAGGCTGCTCTCGTTGCCTGTGCACCTCACATCATCCAGAAAGATGGGGCCGGAGCCATCACCAAACAGACTGCTTCTGGGAGCTGCCAGGGCCAACCCACAGGCCAGCTGCTGGCACACCACCTGGGCAGCAGGTAGGTCCCAGAGGTCATCACACACTGTGCCCCAGGTGCCACCATGGTGGATCTCCACACGCCCCTGGCACCTGCTCTCCCCGTCGGCTAGTCTCACCACGGGCAGATCTGTAGAAGTCAAGAGCCAAGGGGATTTGAAAGGGTTCCTTCCATTCTTCCATGAGATGGTGCTTTTAGCTGGAGAGTTCGAACCCCCCTGCCACCTGCAATTGGGGTGGATAAGCCCAAAGGGGCAAAGCATACAGAGCCAAAGGCACCAGCTCTTTCTACCTAACATTTAACACTGATCCATTCATCCGTGCTTCTTTTCCCAGGCTACTCACTGGGCCTCAGAAGCAGGATTCTACTGTTCCTCTCACTTGCTGTCAGCTTACATTCTGGTTCTCTCTCTAACAGTTCAGAACCATGCAGCCTGCATGCCTGCAGCTGACTGTGCCCTTCTCACTCGGGTCTCCCAAAGAATGTCATGAGATTCTTAGAACAGACTTAGATCTACTTCTCTTGAATCTGGAACATTCTACTGGGAGATGACAAGAGGTGGTTGGAGGTTGGACAATCAAGCAGCTTAGCTGCAGGCAAGGGAGGGCCTGGCCAAGGCCAGTGAAGCAGGTGACACTGGCTCGCGGGTTCTGAGGCTCCAGTGACAGGGTTGGGTCATGGGGTCCCCACTAGAGGGCTGCACCCCGCTGCAGCTGTGTGACAGTGCTGTTGAAGCGGGGTGTTTGTGTGAGGATCCCCAGCCCAGGAGAATGGCCTGTGTGTCCTGCTTCCTTTAACCTGCACAGCTTTCACTCCATTCCCCACCGAGTCCCGGAAATGAGGTGAGCTGCTTTTCTGTTGACCACAAACAAGGGGATCCCAGGCTCACAAAAACATCCAGAAAAGGTAAGAAGGCAAAAGTACCTATTGGATGGAAAACGTGTGGGTGCTCCACATGAGTCGAAGAAACTGTGCAAGTGAGAAAGAGGCCAGTTAGCAGTCTAAACACACAGTGAAGTGGCGTCTCCCCTATGACACCAAGGAAACCACCCAAATGAGTGGGCCTCGGGCTAACCCCACGCAGGTCTAATCAGACAAGGTGATGGTGACTCACGGATAGAAACACATAATTCTTATTGAGAACAAGAGCATGAAAGAAACAAATTTACATAAAGACTTGCAGACATGTTCCTGTGTGCAGGTTACATCTTATCATGACAAACTTCAGTGGTTAAATGCTGGGTCCCAAGTAGGGCTGTGGGTGGAGCAGCAGCTCCTTCCCCCAGCCCCTCCTGCCCCAGCCCCTCTTGCCCCCAGCCCCTCCTGCTCTAGCCCCTCCTGACCCAACCCCTCATGCCCCCAGCCCCTCCTATTCCCAACCCTTCCTGCCCCAACACCTCCTGCCTCCAGCCTCTCCTGCCCCAGCCCCTCCCAACTCCAGCCCCTCCCAACTCCAGCCCTTCCTGCCTTCAGTCCTTTCTGCCCTTTTGGGCTTGCCAAGGCTAGTGTAAATGGCCATCTTGAGTCAAGGGCTGGAATCACATGTTGGAAGGCACAGTGCATTAACCTCTTAACACCCAGAACAGCCTTTTCTGGGTACACCGCAGGACCCCAGGAGGTGAGATGCACCCTCCCACTCCAGGGAGGAGCCTCAAAATCTGAGGACAGATTCTCTGCAAACTCCAGGTGTTGCATGGGCAGCTGTACTACTGGCCAGAGGGCCCTGTGCTCCCTGGAGTGACGCTGCCCACATCTTGGTAGTGCCTGCAGCATGGGTGGGCTGGCAGAGGTGGGGACACTGCCCCAGGGGGGACTCCCCACCATGGTTAACATCACCCATGAGGATCCAGCTTGCCTTGGGAGAGCAGACATGGCCAGGCCATAGCCCAGCTGCCTGCAGACCACCTGGGCACTCTCTAAGAACCAGCTGTCATTTCAAATGGTACCCAAGGAGTTGGCCCTCACACTGCCTCAACCCAGACTCCAGTGGACATTCCAAAGAACGGCCCCTGGGAAAACCACTCCTGAATAGCTGCCAGAAAAGCCAGCTACTTCCTGGGAAAGGATGATAGCAGGCAACAAAACGACCCCCCTCTCTTTATTCTATTTATTTCTGTTTTGGGGACCACTCAGTAGTTGTTCTTTAGTTACAGTTGACTAAGAAATGGCTACTCCTTGGCCAGCCCCACCAGCAACTGGCACACTGTGTGCTTTCTGCTGGGAGGAGGGAGAGATGGGGCACATTGGCCAGCTGGGGAGGTCAAAGGGCAGGGACAGGTCCTCTGGCTGCAGTCTGAGTGTTTCCAAGCTAAAGCTCCATGAAGGGAAGACTAAAGCTCCAGAAGGGGGAAGACAGGATTACCTGTGGAAGTGGGCCTCTCTGTCAGCTTTGGAACGGATGCTAAAGACAGGTAAAAAGCAAAAGAAGAAAATTACAAATCTTGGTTAAGGTCAAATGTATGTAACCCTTAGTCAATTGTCAGTGGGTCCTCCACCTATGAGTTAATTGCAGGCAGGTCTGATTCAAAATCAGGTCCCCTTCTCATGCCCTTTCCGTGGGGTGGGGAGCCCCCTTCCATCAGCCACATGGTGAGTGCAAGGGTTTAATATAAGGCAGCTGCTGCACTTACAAGTGAGTTCAAGCAAACCCAAGCATGGTGCGCGGCAGACTTTGTGAAAAACAGATGTAGCTTAAGATCAATAATGCATTGTTTCTCTGCTCTTCAGGACACCCTGTCTGGCTTTTCCTCTGAAGGCTGGGGTCCTTTCTTTTTTTGCCCTTACCCTTCCTTATATGTCAGACTTTACTCTGAAAGACCTGTTTTGAAAGAGCAGCTGACCAAATTTAAAATGTAACAACTATTGCGCCAATAGCAAAGCCAGAAGCAAACGTCTAAAACAGTTTGTTTCCAGTGGCTTTGCTAGAGAGCAGTGCACAGACAAGTTCCTTCAGAGCTCTGGCCTCAGACAACCTGGGGATCAGAAGAGAAAGGCAGGCATTTCAGTGGCAGGCCTCGCCATGGTTACTGAACCCCAACACTGGGAGGCAGGTGCTGTAACTCTCCCAAGCCTTGTGCAGAGGCTAAAACAAGGCACGGGCAGTTCAGAGCTTTGGAGGGGAGGCTTCACGGCTGGCACATGATGACACAGGAGGATCAGCCGTGCTGTCTGGCTCCTAACCTTGTGCCTTGCTGCCAGCAATTGCCAAGGTCAGTTACAGCCCATCAGTACAGGAGGTTACCTGAGGTTGGAAGACTCACGGCAGCCGACGGTGTGGAGTATGGTAGAGAGGCTGTGGAAGACACAACCAAGGCATGGTCATGTCAATGACCAAAGAATTCCATCCAGGCCTCATACCTGGGTGGCAAGGACCCAGGTGCTTGGGCTATCTTCTGCTGCTTTCCCAGGCACATTAGCAGGAAGCTGGATTGGAAGTGGAGCAGCTGGGACTCCAACATGGAATGCCAGGGTTATAAGTGTTGACTTAACCCCGTGCTGCAATGCTGACCCCAGATACACTGATTCTGCCCCCAACGTCTTACTCGTCTCTCCCATACCTCCTCACTGTTTCCCTCCATCCCTGTCTCCCCCTTGTCTTTGGTAGGCTGGCTGGTAGACTAACTGCCTTTGTCCCAGCCAAACTCAGAAGGGTGAAATGGGAACTTTTGGAGCTCTTTGGAGAAACTCAACTGGCACAAACTGAGGACTGAGAGCCTTGCACTAGTTCCCAGCAGTTACAGTCCCCTATTACCTGTTAGGCTGGGGACCAAGCAAAGGCATGGCTGCCAGAGGTATCATCCGTAGAGAAAGGTCAGCTTACAGGGAAGTCAAGGACAAGTACAGTGTGGCTGGGAGGGATTGTGCAGGTCTTTGAGGGGCTGGCCCTTGGGGAACAGGACAGGACTGTGGGGATTTCCTGCTGCTCTGAGCAGCTAAGCATGTGCTTCCCAGAGCCTGGCTGTCACTTCTGGTCACCCCAACTCAGGGTCAGGACCCACCTGAGCAGATGGCGCTGGCATCTTCATGGTGGCCACAGTTGTGGGCAAACCAGCCATTGTGCAGGCACTGCCATAGCCTGGCTTCTGTCCCCATACACTCCACATCGTCCAGGGCAATGGGGCCCTGGCCTCGCCTGAAATGTGCCTGTCCTGGGGCGGCCAGGGCCATGCCACAGCCCAGCTGCCCGCATACCACTTGGGCATCCCGCAGGTCCCAGCCGTCGTCGCACACTGTGCCCCAGGTGCCGTTGTAGTGCAGCTCCACGCGGCCCTCACACTGGTGGCTGCCATCGGCCAGCCTCAGGGCCACGTCTGGGGAGGCAGAGGTAGTCAGTCACCACTCTGGAGGTCACATGGGGCTCTCCTCAGTGTTATGGGTGGGGTTCTCACTCTCAGGGGGTGACACTGGGTAGAGAAGCACTTTGTCACTTACGGGCAAAGGGGTGAGTGAAAACTTTGCCCCAGATTGGATCAATTGTCTATTCAACAAAGGTCAAGGAGGACCCTGAAAGCCTGGGACAAGTCCACCAAGAGGCCAACTCAGTCACGTCCCTGGTGTAGAACAGCCTTCTTCAATCAAATAAGGGAAACCCACACACAGTTTCAAATAAAACAAGGCCCAACGCTGGTCACATTGAATACCTTCAACCATACAAACACACCTGTAGGGCAGCGCCAGGGTTCAGCCCAGCACTCTAAGCCACATGACTCCCAAGGAGCATGAGAGGCCCCCTTGGGGATCACCAGTCTCCACTCGCCTGAGCTGGCCATCCAACTCTCTCCCTTGGCTAGGGACTGAGATGATGAGGGACCTACCAGTGTCATTCTCATCTTGCACCAGGGACTCGTACGAGGCATGGAAGCCGCTGTTGGTGATGATGGCATCGCTGTGGAACACCACCCTCATGCGGTTGGCAGAGGATACAAACACTGGGGTGATCCCAGAACAGAACTTCCCCAGGGAGAATGACTCGCTTGGTGGACCATCAAAGATTTCAATGAAGTCATATGGACAGCCGTAGAAATTTTCCATCCTGTGAAAGGAGACAGCACGTTTCAGACCCATGCTCACGGGGTTCTCTGCCCAGCAAGTGATACCAAATTGGCTCCAGAAGCTCAGATAAAGCTACCTGAAACCTACGTTTCTTCACATGGGTTGGAAGAAATGATGACCCTGCAGACATTGAAAGTGGGTTTTCTCCTTTCCAAGCATCACACAGTAGATTAGTATCACTATGTGTATGATAAACTGGCACCCTACTGACGGACAAGCAGGTTCTATCCCACAGTGGCTACTACAGAAATGCTGCCATGAGATTTTACTGTAGAACAAATTTCTGAAACTGGAATGGCTGGGTTAAGAGATCTGTGTGTTTGAAATTTTGATGTATATTATGATAAGCCTCTAAAGCCTAACTCAAATATTTTTAAACATATCATCTTAACAACTGTTCAAAAATTACTTATTTGAGGGGCTGGCACAGTGGTGTGGTAGGCTAATTCTCCACTTGTGGTGTCAGCATCCCATGTGAGCACTGGTTTCAGTCCCTGCTGCTCCACTCTGATCCAGCTCCCTGCTAATGACCTGGGAAAACGGTGGAAGATGGTTCAGGTCCTTGGGCTCCCGTGTTCAAGTGAGAGGCCTAGAAGAAGCTTCCGGCTCTTAGCTCTGGACCACCCCAGCTCTGACCATCTGGAGAGTGGAGCAGTGGACCAGTGGATGGATGGGAAATCTTTTTCTCTGTATCTTTCCCCCCACATCTTTAGCTCTGACTTTCAAGTAAAATAAATAAATAAAATCTTTTAAAAAAATGATTTATTTGAGAAGGAGAGAGAGTCAGAGAGAGAGAAATTCCATCCACTGGTTTATTCTCGAGGCCCGGAGCAGTGCTGGGGCTAGGCCAGCACCACAGACTCCACTCAGGTCTCCCAAGGAGGTAACAGGAGTCTACACTTGAAGTATCACTGTGATCGCCAAGAGTCTACATTAGCAGCAAGTTGGAGTCAGCCATGGCTTTCCGGCTTTCCGATTTGGGATCCGGGCACTCTAACCATCCTCTTAACTGCGAGGCTAGACATCTGTCCTTTAGCTCATCTGTAAAAGCTACGAACAGAAGCTTCCTGGGGCAGGGGAGAAGAGACAGCAAACCTGGTGTGCATGGTTGGGCAAAGATGATTGTGAGGGCAGGAAATAGCAACTCACTTTACCACTTGAAATGTAAGCTTGACATGAGCTCTGCTGTCTACTTGTATATCCCAGGCGCATACCACGTTGGTGGGGTATTTCATAGGATACCAAGGACTGGAGAAGGAGCCCGAATTGTTTGTGAGCAAACCGCCACACTGGAAACTGTCATCTGTAAGAAACAGCCAAGAACTTCATCAGATAGGGCACAGGCCCCCTGCAGGGGTTTCCAGTGGAGTTAGGGAGTGGGAGGGGGTGAGTGTGGGGCCAGCACAATGGCATCCCATATGGGTGTTGGTTCGCGTCCAAGCTGCTCCACTTCCCATCCAGCCTTGTGCTTGTGGCTTGGGAAAGCAGTTGAGGATGGCCCTTGGGACCCTGCACTCAAGTGGGAGACCCAGAAGAAGCTCCTGGCTCCTGGCTTCAGATTGGCTCAGCTAGCTCTGGCTGTTGTGGCCACTTGGTGAGTGAACCAGCAGATGGAAGATCTTTCTGTGTCCCCTTCTCTCTGTAAATCTGGCTTTCTAGTTTAAAAAAAAAATCCTAAATAACTAAAGAAGGGGTGAGGGGGAACAGAATTGAGGGATGCTTGATCTGAAAAAGCCACCTGGGGAGACTCGCTGGCGTTGCTGACACCTTCAGTAGATGAAGATGGTGATGCCTCCTGCTGTGGGGAGCTACTGGCAGGGCACATTTGCAGTGTTAAGGGTCCCGTGGGTTGGTAAAGTGTGTAATCGAATGATAAGGGTGAGGAGACAATGCAAACCCTTCCCAGCACAGAGTGCTGTTCAACAGCTGGTATTTAACAATCCGCGCTTGTTAAAAGGCCGAGCAACGAGGGAGGTCATGGAACTGGTCTAACGGCCATGGGGAGACTGCGCAGTGTCCATGGTTATAAGGAGTTAAAAACCACGAACTAGCCTCCAGCTAGGGGCTTTCCATAGTGAGGATCCAAATAAAGCTACTTCCCACTTGAATCAATCGAATACTTTCTTTGCCTGGCTTCAGCATCCCCTACCAATACCTTCTCCTGGTGCCACCTCGGTGGAGCATCAAACCAGTCCAATCGAGAGCTTCCCACTGCATAAATGGCTCCTTGCTCAAGTAAAACTTTAAGTTTTTGAATCATCGGGGTTTACCATTTGCCAATTATGTACAAATACTGACTGAAATCAAGACCAAGGTCATTGAACACATCGATTTATAGCTGAAACATTGGGTTTGGCTCAAGTGGAGTTTGTGGAGACTCCATCTATACCACATCTTGTCATGCATCACGTGTCAAAGGAAGAAAGGGCAAAGGTCAACTGAAACTGAAGCACATACAACCCCCCGAAGGGCTTACATAGACCTGTGAAGGAGCTGCCACCAGCGACATTCGGAAGTGCAAAGAAAAAGTCCAGAAACTCCCGAAAAATACTAAAAAATGTGGACCCTCAAGAGCTATCATTTTGCAGGGCCCCAATGGACAGGGGTGACTTCTCAAGAGTTGGGGCATTTGCACGCCAAGTGCATGGACAGGGTTGCTCTATGGAGAGTTAACGTGTTGGCCCATGCTCGCAGCACGGCCACCCCTGTAGGTGACCTCCCCCTCAGCCGACCCAGACTCACAGGGGCCATTCCGGGTGATTCTAGCCCTTCTTCCTCCCACATCTCTCCCCAGCCTCTGCTGTCCCTCCACTCCATCGGGCTGCCTTGCTCTTGTGTGATTGTGCCCTGGCTTCAGAACTGAATAGCTGGCAGCCACACACACCAGGGGTCTGGCAACTAGTGCAACAGAAGAGCAGTACCTGTTGGTGCCACGTCTGGACCACTGTCGATACCTGGATCAAAGACAGGGGAGAGGCCACGAGATGGCTTGAGTAAGGCAGTCACAGGATTCTTAAGAAGCACTGCGTACCCTTTTTTTTTTTTTTTAGGATTTAGCATCCTATTGTATTCTACAGAGTTAGGAAAATAATGTAGAAACCCACCATGTCAGTTCCAAGATTAGCATCCTGCCTTGGTGCCCACCTGATGAGGGAGCAGTTTGCTCTCCCGGGGGCTCAAACGCACAATGTCATTGGATTGGGGTCAGTTTTTGGACTGAATGAGCCTTAGTAGCAGAGTGCTGCTGAGGCCTGGCCACAGTCCCTTGAGTCCCTTGAGTCTGGACCTGACAGAGTCTAGACCTGCCTGTAACATTGGCTGTCTGTGATGCTGGCTGTGCCATGGCTGCTTTACCAGTGGTCACTTCACCAAGAGTGCCAACAGTCTCAGCTTTATCACAAGTTGTGAAGAATACAGGTGAACACAGATGCACCTGTTGTAGCTTTGTCTGAACTTCTCATCGGTCACCAACTCTTATGTATGCTCAGGAGAGAAGACACTGTCCCAGGCCCCGGCATTCCATTCCAGGAATGCAACACAGACCGTCTAATTCATCCCAACTCTTCAGAGTATTTTGCAGATGCCACAGTTTAAACGAAAGAAGCAGACTTCTAAGCCAATTGACTCAGAACTCTGGCTTGCCCCCGGGGTGGCAGCGGAGGGTTCCTTTCTGAATCTCCATCTGCTTTTCCCAGAGGCTGTAGGTAAATGAGATTCTTGCCCTCTCCCCCCTCTGTGCCACCCATGCACAGGGCACTCACTCACCCGAGCAGATGGCACTGGCATCCTCATGGTGGCCGCAGTTGTGGGAGAACCATCCACTGTGCATGCACTGCCACACCTTGGCCTCATCCCCCATGCATTGCATGTCGTCCAGAAGGATGTGGCCAGTGCCTCCGTTAAAGTAGCTCTCAGGTGGAGCTGACAGAGCCTCCCCACAGCCCAGCTGCTGGCATACCACCTTGGCATCTGACAGGTCCCAGTGATCATCACACACGGTGCCCCAGGTGCCATTGTAGGAGACTTCCACCCGACCTTCACACCTGTGGTTGCCATCTACCAGTCGGAGGGACATACCTGGGTGACAGAAGCGAGGCGTTTCTGAGCTGGGGAGCTGTCCTACATAGGCCTTCTCCAGCCCTTGGACACATGTCCCTGTGTCAGGATGCTGGACTTGAAGTAGCGTGGCTTTGAGTCCTGATTTACCCAGAATGGCACTAATGTGTGACTGTGATGAATGTCTGTTAGTATTTGATGGCTCCTTTAAGTTCCCAGCACTCGCAGAGGACAAATCACGCAGCCCCACCCTGTGCATATGCCTCTGGAAGCTCTGGGGTGTCCCTCGGGTTCTGCAGCAGATCCTGGGAGACCTGGAATTGTGTGGGAGCAGGGGGTGGGTAGTTACAGTCTGAGGTGGTTTTGTTCTGGGAGGAACAGTCCCTTTGCAGAGGGAGGAGCTCTCACTGGAGCCCTTCGCTGGCACGTTTAGGGTAGGAGACCTTAGCCTAATGCTTCGGTGCAGGAAGTGACCAGGGCTGGAAGAGCCTGTGTGAGAGGAGAGGCTGGAGGGCTATTAGCGTCACCAGAGATGTCCCTAGGATGTCATTTGTAGCGGCAAACTCATCGGGTCAGATTAGAAAGCATCTTCTTTTTTAAAGGGAATAGGTACAGATGAGACCCATCTTCCCTCCAGTGTGCCGGCTGGCATACCCACCACTGTGCTTCTCGTCTTGCAGAATGGCACTGTACAGGGCGTAAAACCCCACGTTGGTGACCATGGAGTCACTTCTGAACACTGTCGTCAAGATGTTCGAAGAGGAAAGAAAGGTGAGTTCCGCTCCGGCACAGAACTTGCCCATGGAGAGTGAAGCAGCTTGCCGGCCGTCGAAGACCTCGATGAAGTCGTAAGGGCACCCGTAGACGTCCTCTAACCTGAGAAGAGGAAGGCAGCGTTCATGCTCCCCAGGGAACCCGCACAACGTTCTAAGAAGAACTCCGACATAGCCCCTGCTGCCGCCTCCCACCAATACTGTCCCACTCCCAGCTTGACCTCCCAGGTGCTGCTTGGGCTTGCCCTTCTGTCCTTCCCTTCCGTGGCTGCCCGAGGCCTGCCATGATCTATCTCATCACTCACCTGGCCTATGACAGCTGCCTCCCACCTGGTGTCTTGGCTTTTGGTCTCTCCTCCCATGCTGGTCCTCTTCATGTCCTCCACTCTTGATGTAAAGTCCCCCTACTCTCTGGGTAGCAGAAAGTTTTCCTAGCAGTCTTGTTAGGAAAATTCTCAAGGAGACCCAGAGTAGGAACTGACAACAGCTGCCAAAGGATTCTTACCACCAATAAATCAAATGGACTGATCCAAACAAAGGGCTTTCGTGGCCCAGTTCATCTAACCTGGGTGGTGTGAGAGGCTGTCCCAGCATCCCGCCCCAAGCTGCCTTCTCTCCTCTCACTCTATCCAGTTGCTACACATGCACACATCCCAGCATCGAGCAGCTTTTAACCAGCAGACCTTGCCACATTGCCCATGGAGTTTCTGGGAATCAGATTTCTATCTAGCTTCCCTTATAGACTGGCACCTACGAGCAGCTGGAGCTGTTACCAGTCTTGTTTGTCTCTCTAAGCGCATATCTGTGCCTGGCCCTGCCGGGATCAGGAGCTCAACAAATATGCAACGAAAGTGCATCAGCCTGCGTCTAACGTGACCTAGCTCTCCGAAGCACTCAGGGAAGCAGGGACCCAGCGTGTAGGGATGGTTCTGCTGAGTCACGGCTTGTTTGATGGGAGATTGCCACCTAACATCCGATGCCGGGTCCGTGTGGGTACATGCAGGAGCTACTGCGTCCACATCTGTGGACAGGCTCAGATATTTCTTTTTCTTTCTTTCTTTCTTTTTTAAAGATTTATTTATTTGTTTGAGAGTCACAGAAGGAGAGACACGGAGGCCTTCTATCCACTGGTTTACTCTCCAGGTGGCAGCAATGGCCAAAAAGAGTAGTAAGGAGCTTCTTCCAGGTCTCCCACATGAGCACAGCTGCCCAAACAGTTGGGCCATTTCCTGCTGCTTTTCCAGGCACATTAATAGGAACCTGGATCAGAAATGGAGCTGTCAGAACTTGAATCAGTGCTCAGATGCGATGCTAGCATCCATAGGCTGCAGCTTAACCCACTATGCCACAATGTTGGTGCCCAGGTTTTTCTTGACTTCTTTTGTTACCATTATTTTCTGTATTTTCATCAATTTCAACCTTATTCATCGAGTTTCCTGTTCCTGACTTTCTTTTTCCCAGCTGGAAATACAGTTTGAAAATATTGACTTGGGAAGTGTTCAATGTAATATAACTTTTCAACGTAAAATCCCTTTAGAATTTGTTTTTTTTGGGGGGTGGGTGGGTTATGGGAGAAGTCACTGTCTTTAGGGACAGAACAAATCATATGTACGTTTTGGTAAATGAAAAGCATTTGCTCTTATAAATTGTGCTCGTCCTCAATCCGTGGGCATTGCATTTGTGCGTATGTGTACATGTTTTTGCGGAAGTTCAAAAACATTCATTTTTTTTTAACAAACTAAATTTGTTTTACAAGGGAAAATGCCAGCTATGCAAATTTGCATTTGAACAACGGAAAGCAGCCTTGGTGCCTGTGTGGGTCATCTCAGGTCTCCTCTTTGTGTATTTATTAACACAGAGTGGTTTCTGAAAGCTAACTGTCACATTTGAAATCCTGCTGCTGCAGACCACAGCTGTTCCAGCACGAAAGAAGACAAGGACCTCCCAACAACTCAGCATTTTGTTTAGGAAAAAACGAAAAATACAAAGTGTGTGTGACAGCAACAGGTGTCAAGTTCAAGTGAAGAATCCTTGAACAGACAAGGTCAGTCGGGCAGCATAAGTGATCTCAACCCTGCTGGGCTGATGCAAACTCAACCTGAGTCTTTGTTGGTAAGTGTTTTTGTTAAGACCAGAATGTGAGCTCAGTTCAAATCACGGGTGATGGTGGAGTAGGGTTCTGTCCAGTGAGGGAGCCCAGTGAGGCCACTGCAACCCTGGAACCAAGCAACTGCTTCATTCACTTCACTGTGCTGTTAGCCCTGCACGAGGCTCCCCTTGCAGGCCTCCCGTGGAGCTCTGGTTGCAGCTGCCTGATCCGTTATTGGCTCAGATACACTCCTTGGACATTTTATTGTGCCTCAGTTTTATCTTTTTGACATTGATGACACTGCAATCTGGGATCATATTACATCAGAAAATAGGACATTCTGGGGGGCCGGAGTTGCCGCACAGCATCGAAAACCGCTGCCTGCAATGCCAGCACCCCATGTGGGCACCAGTTCACGTCCTGGCTGCTTCACTTCTGATTCAGCTCCCTGCTAACGGCACGAGGAAAACAGACAAAGGTGGCACAAGTGTTTATACCCCTGCCACCCATGTGGGACAGCTGGATGAAGCTCCTGGCTCCTGGCTTCGGCCTGGCCCAGCGCTGGCTGTTCCAGTCATCTGGGAAAATACCAGTGTATAAGAGCGCTCTCTCCCTTTTCCTCTCCCTCTCTCTAACGCTGTCAAATAAATAAATCTTTAACAAATGAAAGGACAGAACTAGCAAGAACAAAATGGCTTCTTTTAATATATTAATATTTATAAATGTAAATTGATAGAACAGCATACCAATACTTTGGACTATTATTTTCACAAACAAAAACTATTTGGACTATTATGTTTCACACAACAAAAATAGTGAGCAAAATTCTAAAGATACCAAAATGGAAAAAGCGAAGTGCCATGCAGTGTAAACCAGGGATTGTCCATCTCAACAATGTGGACGTTCAAGGCTGGGTCGTTCTTTGCTGGGCTTTTAGGGTAAACCTCCTAGACATTGCGGGACTACGAGCGGCAAGTCTGGCATCTAGCCACTAGATGGCAGTGGCACCCTCCCATCATGACCATCACAGCTCCTGGGGCTACACTCCTAGGAAGGCAGGCTCATTCCCACACATGCGCACTCCCACTTTTTGAGAGCCACCGGTGTAAATAATACCCAATTTAGACCTCAAGAAACAAAGTTTAAATAATAGTAGGTATATTTGCTCTGCTCTGGTTCTAGGCAACACATTAAACAACTTTGCTCCCACATTACAGTAAGAAACTTGTGTTGGAAAAATGTCCATGTGGTGACAGGGGCACAGGCTGTAACCATGCTGTTTTGCAAAAATGGCAGCATGGCATTTTTGCTTCAAATTATTAAGCCTGAGAATTTTCTGGACTTCTTCTCATATTGTGTTCAACCAATTAATGTGTTGAATGAATGCATGATAAATACAGTCTGTCCCTGACATTAGCTTTTTTCCTCATCACCCAGAAGGAATTTGGCCAGAGCTGCTCAGGAGAAGACACCTGCCTGTGTGAGAAGACAGCCCAGAGATCGCAGAGACCGACCAATTGTTCTCACGTGGGAAGGCTCCCTCTTTGGGAAAAGCAGGGAGTCCAGTCTAAACTAACTTTAGAGTGGAGAAAGGCAACGCCACTTACTGCAGGCTTGGGACCCTCAATTCTATGAGGAACGTCTCAGCCACGTGAATGACCCAGACACACTCCACGCTGGTGGGGTAGTTAGCCGGATACCAAGGACTGGAGAAGGAGCCAGAGATACTGGAAAGCACGCCACCACAAGAGCTGCTTCCTTCTGTAGGGGTGGACAAGAGGGGCTGGGGTTAAGCCACCACGTGTGTGTTATTCCAGTCCCGGGGGCAGCACGTCATGTCCCTGTATCCTAGGTGCTCTGCTTTTGATCCAGGTCCTTGCTAACGCACCTAGGAAGGCAAGTGGGCATCTTTGTGGTGTTCTTGCCTCTGACTTCTGAAGGGCCCAGCCCTGGCAGTTGTAGCCATGTGGGAAGTAAACCAGTGGACGGGAGACCTAGCTCTGACTCTGGGACTCTGCCTTTCAAATAAATGAATCTTGACAAAAAGAGAGAACAGACGAAAGGCCAAAAGTATTTTGTAGTTTCCCAGTTGTGGGACCTGGATTCCATTGCCATCAACAACCAAAACACAAAAGGCAAAGGGGCCCTGGTGGGTGAGACTGAGCTGTGGCTGGGCTGAGTGAGTGACGGTGCCTCTGAGTGACCACACAGAGAGGAGGAAAAAGGCACAGGGGACAGGCAGGACTGTCCAGTTGATTATAAGTGAGACTGGAAGTGGAATTGGGCAAATGCATGCAGTGCGTGTGCAGTGTCCAGGAAGCACTATGTGTAAGTATTTGAGAGGGAGGGAGAGAGAGAAAGAGATACAGAGAGAATGACACGCACTCCAGGAATGCCTGCATCAGACCAAGCCAGGAGCTGGAAGCTCGGTCCAGTCTCCTTCATGGATAGCAGACCAGTCACCTGAGCTGCCGCTTCTGCCTTCCAGGGCCCACATCAGCAGAAAGCTGGAGGCAGGACCCAGAACGGGAGCTGCACCCAGGCATGCCACTGTCAAGACGTGGGTGCCTTCACCCACTCGCCAGCTTCTTGCCATGCCGGCTGCACTACATGTGTGGGCAACTGTCCCAGCCAGGCACCCCTTCCCCTAAGGTAGCCAGGACACAGAAGCCCATTGCAAATCAAACCAATTCCACCCAACTTGGTGCGTTACCAGACACTCACCTTGTGGCATGGGAGCCTGAGTGGTGACTACTGCAAAATTAAAAACCAAAGAATGTGAGTACAAAACTTAGTATCGGCAGATCGCCCTTCCTGTAAGTCAAATGAGTGAGCCTACTGCGACTCCTCCGTGTTAGCACAGGTTGCACACACATCCATTTCTCTTTTTTCCTCCTTTCAGCCAATTCACTAGGAAGTCACAGACACTGCACAATCACAGGACTTCTGTCCTCTTATCTGCCAGGGCTGGCCCAAGGTCGACCAGTTCCCAGGAGTCCCCACTGGACATCATCGGCTTATGATCATTCTGCTCCATCGGCAGGACTAACTAACCAGACCTGTAAGGACAAAATCCAGAGAAACGCGAGAGAGGGCGAGGACAGGCAGGCTGGACAGGAGTTTGGCTGGAGAAAGTTGGGCCTCCCTTTAATGTGTTCAGGGTCCCTTTAATGTGTGTATAGTCTCAACTCCTACTACACAGCAGGCTGAGACCAGGGCGGTATTGAAATCCACTGGGTGGCCGGGACTTGCTTGAGTTTCACACTAAGGACCACAGGGGCCAGAACTAGAAGCAAATGGGTCTTCTTGCCTCCCCACTGGGGTGCCGCTCAGCCTGCTTTACCGTGAACGCAGAATCGTGACAATGCTACACTCTTGCCTCTCCTGGCTGGCTCAGTAAGGGGCTTGTTGGGTTCATGCTTCCAGTAACACTATCATAGTAAATGACTCCATTTCCTCCACAGTTTCTGTACCGGGCGACTCTCTTCTGCATGGAGTTGGACACCACTGACTCCGTAACGGGAAATCACAGCACAGAGGGAGAGCGAGACCTTCTGAGGCCAAAAACCCTCTTACAAGGACTTGGGCACAGAGCTGCTGATGACCCACAAGCTGTGCCTCCCTCCTCCCCAGTGGGGATGCAGAGGAAAGCGAGAAGGACTTGTGGGGGCCTTGTGGACCCCAAGAAGGGGCAGGGGTTGCCCTGCCTCCCCCACAGGGCTGCTCTGTAACTCTTGAATCCCAGGGTACCATGAAAAGCTGGGGCATCTTCCATAAGAGGGGAGATCCATCAGCTAATGACCCAGGGCTACTGTCCCATGCCAAAGCAGCTGGCTGATCTCTAGGGCACACCTGCCAGCTTGATCTGAGTAGGCAAGAGACCTCCACTGAGTCCCTTGTCCACCACCATTCTTGGGTCCTAACACACCACAGGGCATACCTGGCCCTGACACCTCTGTGAGGTTCAGACCACCACTGAGGTCCAGGTGGCGTAAGTGGGGCTCTGAAAGCAGTGGCAGGTAGGGAAGTAGGCAGCTGAGAGCCCATGCCCAAGGGGCTAGGAGTGGCAGGAGCCAAGACCATGTGCTCTGGGAATTCTGGCTTGGGAGAAAGTTCTTGCCACGATTGACTGAGTATACATTTCAGGGAGGCCTTTCCTGCTGTGTTGGCTGAGCCAGGAGCCACAGAAGAGCCTGGTGTGATTCAGTTCTCACCAGCAGTCTGCTTTGCATCCACTGGAAGACTTTGGCACCTGCTACATCCTTTTTGCTGCTAGTTTCACGTTCTCCCACATCCCTGAGGAGCGACCCTTTCCGCTGTCTCACTCCACAGCCACCTTCTTCTCAGCCACAGTGAACAAACCCTTGTCTTTCCCATTTTGTCCCCTCCTTGCTCTGCTCTTACAGCTTTAGATGCTTTGGGGGTAGGGGAAATGTGGTTGTTCACTCCCTGTTTCTCAATTTTGGCCACACCTTGGACTCCCATGGGGGAATTTCAAATATAACTGACAGCTGGGAATGACCCCAGAGACCCTGAAGTGGCTGGCATGGGGTGTAGTCAGGGCCCACATGCACCCAGACAGAGGGTGGAAGCCTTATCAACGCTTCAGAGAGACTGCAATTCCCAGCCCTGGACCTACCTGCAGGTGCAGGAGTCTCCTCTGGAGCCCAGGTCCCAGCATCTGTACCATGAAAGAAGAGAAGATTTAGAAAATGCAAAGAATCTTCTAGGGAGAGGAAGAAGTGGTGGCTTTCTTGTGTGGGCAGGACAGGAAGCAGGCAGGGTTTCGTGTTGCGTGAACAAGCATGGGGACATGGTTGACTGTGGAAAGGCAGTTCCACACCCGGTTGAAGTGGGGTGTAGAGGGCAGTGACAGCCTGCTGTGTGGCCTTCAGAGATGCAGTCAGGTTCTCATTCTGTCTTCCTAGCTGGGACAGTCACTTGTTGGCTCACTGCCTTTAGAATCTCGGAGCCTGCTCTGTGCACAACTTCCATGCATCAGTAAGATGCTGTGCTTGCAGCTAGGGTGGTGGTTCAAGGATTGAGACGATACCTGCAATGCCAGCAACCCATGCCAAAACACCTGTTTGTTTGCTGTATCACTTCCAGCCCAGCAGGAAAGGCTACCTGAGCAGATGACTCCAGCGTCCTCATGGTGGCCGCAGTTGTGGTCTGACCAGGTGGAGCTGGGGCACTGGCCAAGGTGGCTCTCACTTCCTGAGCACTGGAGGTTGTCCAGAAGGATGTCCCCAGAGCCTGGGCCAAAGTAGGCTTTTCCCAGAGCAGCAATGGCCCGTCCACATCTCAGCTGTCTGCACACGACCTCGGCTTCATTCAGGTCCCACAGGTCATCACACACGGTGCCCCAGGTCCCCTTGTGGAGGACCTCCAGGCGGCCTGAGCACCGGCTGGAACCACCCACAAGCTGCAGCACTGGGCCTTCTTCTAAACAGAGAGAGATTTTATTTTTTAGTTTTGGATGTTTTAATAGGAAATATTTCTATTTCCTATATTTGTTGCTAAGAAAACCTTAAGATTGAGTTGATTCCACAATAGGTCCACAGGCTATAGAATGAGACACAGTTGTATTGAACTCCCATTTCTCTTGTTTCCTAGTTCTGCAGCTGCTGACAATCACCAGGTCTCCATGGGTCTCAGTGCAACCCTCTCAGAAAGGGCGGTGGGGTTGAGTCCACAAGAGCTCATGTGCAAAGTACCCAACACCCAGTGTGCTGTGGTGCCTGTAGATCTTGCCATGTGCTTTGCTGGATCACTGGAGAAGCAGGGTCCCAGATGATTGTTTGGATGTGTCTTCAGTAAGTGTAGGTTAGTCCAAGGAAGGCATCTGAGCCACAGGAGTGACTATGCCCAAGACCCAGGGCCCAAGGGCAGTGGTCGCTGTGAGCTGAAAGGCCAGTGGGAATCACTGACCATCTCCTAGGGGATAGCCTTGGCGTGCTGACCATTCAGTTGCTCCTACATGTCCAGCTCCTTTCCACTTGTCACTGCTGTTCTCTCTGCCTGGCATCCCGTCTTTGTCACTCATCCTGTGTCACCTTCCCCCAGGAAGTCATTCATTCCCGTCCAAACCACAGTGGTACCTCTACCCAGGTGCTCTACTCCCCAGACTGGCTCTTCATTCTCAGCTTCTACCTTTATCCCTTACCAATCTTACTCTAAAACTGTCAATTTACTTTTTCCTTGTGCCTTGATTGTCCACTATGCACCCACACCCATAAACCATAAGAGAGCAGGTGGGTGTACTTTCTGCTCTTTGCCCCAAGTTGTAAGTGGACACAGCACACAACAGGAGCCTCTGTGGATGAGTGAATGGTGACCATGAGACAGGAGTGGTTTGGATTTCAAACATCAGCATTTACTTAGCTTCTCCAGGCCAAGATCTCTAACACACATCTGAGGACCAAATACACAAGGAGCTTGCTGTTTTGGAAACAATCGATCCTGCAATTTCAATCACTGGCTTACTGGTGAGCTGTAAGTGTTACTCGATTCCCACATGGCATGTAAATATCAGAAGTCCTGTCTCTGGCAGAGTTCTCAAGATGGAAAACTAGACTTGGCTTTAGAAATGACTGCTGTAGTCTCATGGCCAATAAATGTCCACAAACTTCCCTTTTGGGTCAGTCTAGGGATGTATGCCAGGGATGGAATGAGCCAGCTGGTACAAGGAAGTGGAGTTTTCTATCTACTTCCTAGGCTCATTGGGCTGCCATACTTCAGCACTCTGGACAGTTCCCAGTAGCCGGGCAAGAGAAGACACAGCCTTAAGACCCTTCACAACACACAGCATTGCCTCCCAGACTGTAACAGTCTCGCCACTAAAACACAGGAATTTGCATCACTGCCTATGGTAAGATCCCCTGTGGTCCTCATGATGAGGAAATCTATCCACTACAGAGCAAGGTTGCTGTAATAAAATAGTGAAAGTCTTTTAGACACCAAATGGCTTCTGATTTTTTACACCAAAAACAGCCTGAGGTTTCCCACCTGAGTCTTTTTCATCCTGTGTAATAGCATTAAACATGGCATAGAAGCCAAGGTTGGTGATCATAGGATCGCTGCGGAACACCACGGTCATGATATCCGAGGAAGAAAAAAACAGCATAGCCACGGAGCCACAGAATTTCCCCATGGAGAGAGAAGCGATCCGAGGGCCATCGAAGATTTCAACCGAGTCATAGGGGCACCCAGGAATGTCTTCCAGTCTGGCGGTGCAGAATCATAGGATTATTAACAGGTTAGGAATTTCCTAGATATTAATGCTAAAAACGGGTGACAACAGAAAGATTGAATATCTGGATTATATTTTAAATTGCATACTATTATACAAACTTTAGTCAATTCTCTTAAGATGCTGTTTTTCTCTGGCTGAGGAAAGTATGGAGCTATGGCTACAAACTTTTAATAGAAGTGTTAAAAATCATAAAGTTTTGGCCAACTACATTCTGCTTAGAATATTAGGAAATACCAATTCATACTACAAAATTCTTAGATTGATTCAATACCTACCAAACAATGGATTCACCTACATCAATATTTTACAATCTTTTTCATACTCAAATTCTGGGGGACAAAAACTTAATCTGAAAATAAAAATAATGGGGCTGGTGCTGAAGCTGCCACCTATAATACTGGCATGCACTGATTCAGGTCTTGACAGCGTCACCTCCAACCCAGCTCCCTGCTTAAGCAACCGGGAAAGCAATAGGAGACATACAAAATGCTTGGGTCCCTGTCATTCATGCAGGGACTCAGACGGAGTTACAGAGTTGCGGGCTTCTGGCCTCAGCCTGGCCAACTCCTGAGTGTTGCAGCCATTTGGGAAAGTCAATCAGCACGTGGAAGAGCTCTCTCCTCTCCTCTCCTCTCTTCTCCTCTCCTCTCCTCTCCTCTCCCCTCCCCTCCTCTCCCCTCCCCTCCCCTTCCCTCCCTTCCTCTCCTCACACTTTGAAATAAATGAAAGAAATATTGAAAATAACAACATCCTAAGGAAGTATATTTGCCACACAGATATTACTCATGATGGAGAGTGATATAGAAGGAATAGACAACTAAGAACTTGATACGCTTTGGAGGTGTCAGTTCAGAGACCTCATCTTATTACAGGAAAATATGGCCATAGGGCTTTCACTAATAGCTCTGGGAGACATTTTGACTTAAGGTATTTCTGAATCCATGGCTTTGGTGTGGTCATGGTCAAAGAAGAACTCAGTGCACATCTGTAGCTAAGTCGCTATGGGATTCTGTGGTCTTGGTATATTTATAGCATGGTGTATGTTACCTGTGATGGAGAAGTGCTGCGCTGACTATGGATCTGCACAGAATCGCCTATCAGTGAAGGGCTGGATCTTGATATCAGACAGTCCCAGAAGGGCTGGCCTCTCTGAGCCTTGAGTTCCTAATTTCTAGTGGATATGACAAGGAGGCCTGTCTCAGGGCTGGAGTATGACAATGCAGAGAGCTGTGGAGGGGCCGGAGTTGTGTAGCGAGCAAAGCTACCACCTGTCATGCCAGCATCCCACATGGGGGCCGATTTGTGTCTCAGCTCTCTGCCAAGGGCCTGGGAAAAGCAGCATAAGATGGTCCAAGTGCTCAGACCCGTCATCCACGTGAGAGACCCGGATGGACTTCCTGACGTGTGAGTTTGGCCCTTGCACATCCTCAGGTATTTCAGCCAGCTGGATCTCTCTCTTCCTCATTCTGTAATTTGGATTCCAGATAAGTAAGACTTTTTAAAATAAGGCTTTAATACAATGTCTAGCTTCACCATGGATTGTCATTTTCTGACATGGAGATTGAAAACTGTCAGTAACACTGGGTTATTCTGTTCAGAGCTCTTCAGTTCACTATGTGGAACATTTTAGATGACATTCAACCCAAGACTGGAGTCCTTGGCTAATGGGGTCGTATAGAAAATCTGCCTATGATTCAGATAAAACAAAGAAACTACAAAAGGACAAATATTGATACCCAGTACACAACAGGGACCAAAAAAAAAAAAAAAAGAAACTAAAACACTGTGGGGAAATGACATTGAGCTTTTCAGATGGGGAATCATTCATTGACATTAACAAACTAACCCAAATGATGACTTAGGGAGCATGCAGAATTTTGTGCTCTTTAGCTTTCACCTTTAAGTGCTTGCCACTAAGAAAAATACCTTTATTCGGAACTTTCACCTAAATTTTCTCTTACTTCAAACTTGGAATCATGAGTTGTATGCGCAATTGTTTTTTCATGTGGATTTCCCAAACACACTGGATGTCCGTTGGATAGCTTTCTGGGTAGTGTGGACTGGAAAATGAGCCAGAGAGACTAGAGAGGACTCCTCCACAAGACTCACTTCCTCCTGAAACAACAGGACAAAGGACATCAGAGCATGTTCACATGGGATCCCTGTGTAGTTCTAGTCGTGACTAGCTCACACCTGAGGGTCAGGTGTGACCCTGGGCCTGGTGGACACACACAGCCGTACTGGCAGGTTTCACAGCAGATCACAGTCACTTGTGAAGGGAAGTATACCAGGTTAGCTATGAGGGACTGGAAAGTATTGATATGTGGGAGTTCTCTGCCTTTCTCTCTAACCTAACACCTGCTAAAAAAAAAAAAACTATTACATTTGTCCTTTCTATTAACTGTCTTCCAAATAGGGAACATTTAGATTCCAGGGGGGATGGAGTCATCCATAGAATGATAGACTGCGCAGATGCAGGGAGATGGAGCTGGCTGGGCCCACAAGTGGTGAGAGCTCGATGAGGTCTGGGGAATGAGAAGTTCCAGTATAATTTGGGAGATGCTGCAGATTGGGGAGTTTATGACTGAGGTCACCTTTAAGGACTTTCTCATCACTTTCATTGGGTAGATGGTTTCCTTGAACTTAGTAATTGCCCTGAGACCAGAACTTACAGATTCAGAATTTCTCAGGGTCAAAGAAGACAGCAGTGAAATTTAATTTTGTCTAGTTGGTTGTCATGTTGGGATAGACATATACATAACCTATGTGTGTATATTCAATGCAGCAGAACACTTCGAATCACCAAGTTATTTTGGAAGAAATTTGAAGATAGTTCCCTTGGTTGATCCTGACTCTACATTTCCAAGCTGCTTCATTTTTCATCTTTCTTTCCCTCCACAACCTACTTGCAATCCTCCACAAATCCCACAGATTTCTGGTCTTTGTTGAGATGGATGGTGGGAAGTGGTGATGGCCCCACACATCCTAAAGTTCTATCATCGATCAATATTTAGGTTACAATAATGGGACCAGGTCAGATTGAGCCTGGGACTCCTAGCAAGTGGACCACTTGTGATCACTGCCTGTGATGTGGGCTAATAGCCTGGTGCCTGAAATGACACCCCACTACAGTCAACTGTACCTGAAGAAGGGAGGCTGAGTGTGGGCCAATGGACCTTGGAACCCCAGCCCTGCCTCATGGGACTTGGGCAGATTCACATCTCCCCCTTCCAGCCTGCTTCTCTTGTTAAACATTCAGCGAGGCAGACCCCTCAACCACATGGTGCCAGTCTCCACTGCATTGCATCCTGACACACTGCCATGGTTCTCTTAGGAAGGCGTTAGCACTTCCATTTAAAACAAGTGGCTAAATCTGAACACCACCCAGTACGTACATGCATTGAAACATCACCCTGTACCCAATCTATGCGTATGCTTCTTAGATATAAGTTAAAAATGAGGAACAAGTGACTACCTGTAACAGGATCCTGAGGAGCCACAGAAGGACCTAGAAGAGGAAGGAAAAAGACAATGGTGATACGTGGGGTGGGGAATAGTGGGGGGAGCATCAGGGAACACAACACAGTGAGAAAAGGTTGAAGACACTGAGTCATACCATCTGGGTCCTGCAGTAGACTAAAGGCCACGTGTTCTCAGACATCCTTCTGCCACGAGTTGGCACCTGGGTAGGCTCTGTGACTGTTTTGGCCAACAGAAGATGGCGACAGTGACACCTGCGCTAGTGACTGGCAGCTTCTGTCTTCTGTCTCTGGGAACCCTGACCTGCCCATGCAGCTCTAAGTCATCTCTGATGACCTTGGGATGAGGCCCTGAGCCCACCTGGCAAGGTGAGACCCTCAGCTGTCTGCATAAGGCGCCAAGCACGTGAACAACCCTGAGTCCTCTAGACCAGTTATCAGATGAACACCATTGATGACCCTATTCAGTGCTGTGTAAAACTCGCAGCTGAGCCTCGCCCCAGGACTTGACCCACAAAGCTGTGACATATTTAAATGATTGTTGTAAACCACTAGCAACAGATAACCATAATGGCTTCCTTCAAGCAATATTGTTTTCCTGGTTTCTCTGTCACGAATATAATTTATGTAAATGAGAAAAACATGGGTGGATCTTCTTTTGAATATTCATGAATGCTTAACTTCAGCTAGGCCCTGTCTATCACTCACTATTCCAACACACAAAGCTTGCCTTTTTCCAGGAACTCTCAGAACACAGCAAGGTCTTCTCCAGACAGGTTCCCAGGATGCCAGGGTGTTTTGGATACAAGTATTCAATAAATTACATAAGACAATAACTTTTTAAATTATTTTTTTAATCTTTATTTATTTTTAGTACCTGGCCCAATAGCCTAGTGGTTGGATCCTTGCCTTCCGCACACTGGGATCCCATGTGGGCATTGGTTCATGTCTTGGCTGCTCCACTTTGCTTCCAGCTTCCTGCTTGCAGCTTGGAAAAGCAGTAGAAGATGGCCCAAAGCCTTGGGACCCTGCACCCACATGGGAGACTCAGAAGAAGCTCCTGGCTCCCGGCTTTTGATTGGCTCAGCTTTGTCCATTGTGGCCACTAGAGGAGTGAATCTTTGTCTTTCCTTCACTCTGTAAATCTGGCTTTCTAATAATTAATTTGTGATCATTTATTCATTTATAAATATTGTTTCTATGTAATAGTACATGTTATATAATGTATTTGATAATAAATAATACATATTTATATTATTTATTGTGGCCATCTGGGGAGTGAGCCAGTGGATGAACAACCTGTGTTTCTCTCTCACCCCTCTCTTCTCTCTCTTTCTTTCAAATAAATTAAAAATCCTTTAAAAACAGGATCTATGTTAGGTGATTTTTTCCCAATCCTAGAACAGCGCAAGCGCTCTCAGCATGTTTAAGGTAGACCAGGCTAGGCCATTATGCCTAGCAGCTTAGGCATATTCCATGAATTTTCAACTTAGAATATTTTCAACTGACAATGACTAGGATAACTCTATCAGAAGTTGAGAAACCTCTGTATATGAGAAAGGGCTCAAAACAGGGCCTGGATCTCAGCATTTGTAAGTATTTGCTGCCATTATTATTATTGTTATAAAGTTGCCTGGACTAGCAAAAACCATGAACGTACCTGGAGCTGTGGTTGGTGGTAGGGCTTCTGCATCTGGATGCACAAACAAAGGCAACAGATCATATTTCCAGAGTCTGAGCCATGGAGGAGGTAGGGTGACAAGGGACTAGGAGGCGTGTGCCAGGCAGAGGGCCATTGTCTTTCTGGGCATGGGACCCAGAATCCCAGAACAGTCCCCTGGGTACTTGGCACCCCACCCTGTCAATGCACTTGGCTGAATGGGAAGGACACAGCAACTGGATCACCCCTGCTGCATGGCAGCCAGTACTGGACTTCCCTGGCCCCTCTTATGCTGACTCTGGATTTTTTTGTTAAATGCAGATTCCTAAAGTTCCTTTCCAGATCTCCTTACTTACAGTCTCCAGGACAGGGCTTTGCAACATGTACTGCCATGTCCCCAGGTGGTGCGGCTGCATTCCAGAACTTTCCCTGGGCAACCAAGTTCTGCCCATGCCAGCAAGTGTGCTCTGGGGAGGTCACTTAAGGACTGAGGAGATGGGGGGTGGAAATCCCATCCTGGATGCATACTTTCAAAATGTCTTCAACTGCAACATTTGGGCTGTGGCCATGAGGGGAAAGGTACCTGAGCAGATGACGCCAGCATCCTCATGGTGTCCACAGTTGTGCTCTGACCAGCCCAAATGGGCACACTGGCCCAGGGCATGCTCCATTCCAGTGCACTGGAGGTTGTCCAAGAAGATGTCTCCTGATCCAGGGCCAAAGTGAGCCTCTCCTGGAGCAGCAATGGCCCGTCCACACCTCAGCTGTCTGCACACGACTTCGGCTTCATTCAGGTCCCACAGGTCATCACACACGGTGCCCCAGGCTCCCTGGTGGAGGACCTCCACGCGGCCTGAGCACGGGCCAGAGCCACCCACCAGCCTCAGCTCCGGCCAGTCCCCTGTGCACAGAAACAGCGTGTAGGTCCCCAGGCCGTATGCTTTCCTGGGTCCATCAACCCCAGGCTCAGAGGGAGGGCAGGAAGTGGGGTCATCTCCTCATCTGGAGCCCTGGGACTTGCTCCTCATAGCTCTCAGGTCTCTTGAGTTACTGGCTAGGGGGGGTCCTTAGCCAACTGACTGTTTTCTCCCCCAAATTTAGCACTGGCCTTTCAGGTTAAGCCCTGATGACACAGGGCCAAGAGCTACGGCTCCTCCCCCAGGGAGCAGAGTGTGTTTGCTAGCCAAGCAGGGACACTGGTCAATTCCACTGCGAGGTGAATGCGCTGGAGGACAAAACAGGATGCTACCAGGAGAAAAGGGATCAGGGAAGGTGGAGGGGCCATGCTGGGATGATACTTTGAGCCAGGGGGTACAGTGTTTGCAAAATACCTTGAATACCAGTTTGATGTTTGTGTATGTACCTAAAAAATAGGAACTTCACACATACAACTAACTTCACATGTAAAAAAGTAAAAAAAATAATTTCAGATAAGACTTCCAAATGGCCCTAACAGTCTGCACCTGGTGTTCAGACAGCTAGTGAACCTCAAGCTGGAAGGATGGGTGGGTCGAGGGCAAAGTCACAGCAGCAGACAAGGAGCTCGCTTCAATAAAAGGTGTGACTGACCTGGGTCCTGAGCCAGGGACACTTCAGCATCTGTTAGCAGAGAGAATTAAATAGGTCAGTATTACCACTTTTTGTTACGTCTCACCCACTGAAGGCAAAGGTTTTAATGATATTCTTAAACATGTTTGCTGCTCTGATATGGGAAAATGTGTCTTTACTGAAGTGGCTCATCCACAGACACCAAAGGAAGCGTCTCTGGCTGTTGGCTTGCTGCTGCGTTCAGAGAACATGGCCACGTGTGAGTAGCACATTTGGGACTGACTGAGTGGGTTTGTAGCAGGTGAGTTTCACTTTAAGGGTCATTGGGCACATGCCAGACTAGACAGTCAACCTTACAACCTCAAAACCTGGGACTATCATGGCGCCATGAGGCTCTAAGTAGGTTATATGAGCCACACACAATAAAAAGCCACAACACAAATAGATGGGACAATGCTTGTGAATCTGCACCTCGAGTGCAAAGTTGCAGGGGGCAGGTGCTGACATGCACTTGGGCAGACTCTGTGCGGCAGGAATCATCAGAGATTACAATGACTGACTCTTTCAAGTCACTTCAGAGAAGGATGACAGCTGCTGGCTCGTCAAGATCTCCATGTTGGCGCCACTGAACGTGACTTATTCCTACCTAGCACATGAGCAGGCCCAGAGGGTTGTTTTTTTTTTTCCAATTAATGATCATAAGGCTATTAGAATTAGCCAGATGCAGCCACAAAATTTGCTTTGTGTTGGCCTGGAGTGAGAAACAAGGTGGTAAGAATTCCCCCAAATGTGGCCGCTTTGTTGTACTGTATGAGTGCCACGCTAAAGCTGGCTGCACTCCTCCTGGTGATTCTGTGAGCAAGCCATTAGTCTTCTAATTTTATAGAAAAGCAAGCTTGGGTGCTGGGAGTTCATGTGGTCCAGTTTGAGCACCAGCTGTGAGAGGGGTGCAGGCCTGACCCTCTCTGAAGTCTAATCCAGCTGTGCACCCTGGTCTGCCTGTTTCAGATAGACTCCGACTTTGTCAAGCTCTCCAAAAATCCCCCTAACTAAGCATGCATCGTATCTTTGGTTGGAAAGCTTCACTCCAGGGGCTGGCAGTTACAGACTTGCATATTTGAGCAAGTAAGGAGGGATGAGAGAAGTCTTCAGAAAAGTCACAGGAAATATGTGTTACGAATCAACCCTGTGTGGTTTTTCAACATTTTTGGTACCCAAGGGAGCATTTTAAATTTCATTTGCCCACAAACATTTTGAGGTATGCCTATAAACAAAAATTCCCATGTCTCAGGTTTGAGGGTCCCATCCTAGTCCCTGCATGACTGTGAGTGCGTGCAGGGCAGTCTTGGGACACTTGTGGACAGGACCATCTGAAAGGGGCAGGGTACCTGAGCAGATGACACTGGCATCCTCATGGTGCCCACAGTTGTGTTCTGACCAGCCTGAGTGGGCACACTGGCCCAGGGCGCGCTCCACTCCAGCACATTGCAGGTTGTCCAGGAAGATGTCTCCTGATCCAGGGCCAAAGTAAGCTTTTCCAAGAGCAGACACGGCCCGTCCACACCGCAGCTGTCTGCACACGACTTCGGCTTCATTCAGGTCCCACAGGTCATCACACACTGTGCCCCAGGCTCCCTGGTGGAGGACCTCCACGCGGCCTGAGCACGGGCCAGAGCCACCCACCAGCCTCAGCTCCGGCCAGTCCCCTGCACACAGAGATAAGGACAGGGTGGGTTGGGGGGGAGGTGTGAGTCTCCAGGGACCCTGCAGACAACAGAGATGTGACAGCTACTGTCCTTAGAAGGCCCTGTACCTTCCCACGAGTTTGTCTGAGCTCCCACCCCACTCTACTCTGGAGCACATGGGGGAGCCAGCCACCCAGCCAGCCAGCCAGCCAGCCTCTTAGTCAGAAGCAAAGCCATTCAGTTAGCAAATGACATTCAACATAAAGTGTTCACTAAGAACTGATTTTTCCAAATGTCCAGCCAATCTATTCTGGCTAAACACAAGCATGTGAAGTCATTGGTACTGTGACCTGTGAATTTATGAAGCAGTTTTGTGTGTTTGTGGGTTCACCTCAACCTCATAATAGTTCAGGAAAACAAGCAGAAAAGTGCACATCTCTGTGGGCTGGTTCTAGCTCTAAGGGAATTGGAGGCTGGGACTCGCAGTGCTGCAGCCCAAGCCTCACCCCTGCTGAGGGGCAGGTCTACGCGCAGGTCTGTGGGCTCCAGCACTCTCCATTTCCTCCTCTGCTCATTGCCTCGCTGCCCATAGAACAGCTCTGCCCAGGTCGAATGCTCCCCACAACCCACATATTAGACACTTGGTCCCCGGGGAGGTGCTACTGGAAGAGGGCAGAACCTGCCAGCAAAGCATCCACCGGGAGGCCTGAGCTCGTTGCAGGGGCTGCCTCAGAGAGTAGCTCTCGTGGGGATTGAGCTTGTGTCTGTTCAGTCTTTCTGCTTCCTGTTTGGACACATGCTCCCTTCTGTGCACTTTACCGTTCACCAAGTTAGAACTGGCGTCCGGCCATTCAGGCTGTCAGTGCTTTCCTTCATCGACAACTTGTCTCAGGCATTTTGTGCAGTGTGAAAAAGCTGACAAAAGAGGCTCTGACACTCCACTCACTTGGGAAAAGCCTTTTGGGCTGGTGTTGTTTGCAGGGGTTAAGCTGCCCCTGCGACACCAGCATCCATATTGGAGTACAGGTTCAAGTCCTGGCTGCTCCATTTCTGATCTAGCTCCCTGCTAAAGCAGTTGGGGAAGGTAGTGGAATGGCTAAGTGAGTGAGCATTTGCCATCCCCATGGGAGACCCAAAGGCAGTTTCTGGCTCCTTTACTCAGCCATTGCAAACATTTGGGGGAACCAGGTGATGGCAAACATTTGGGGGAACCAGGAGAGGGAATTTCTCTCTCTCTCCTCTGTCTTTCAAATACACAAAATAAATCTTTAGGGAAAAACAAGGCTGTCAGTGATGGAGATGGAGCTAACTGGGACTGGGATTGGCATTAGAAGAAAAGTGAGAATCCCATTAGAAGGCACTTGAATACTGCTCAGGCTTTGAGGGCTCTGAAGGGCACTGAGAAAAGGAATACTCCTCCTGGGATGTGGAAGCCAAAGGATCCCACAAGTTCTGAACGGCCTTAGAGGTTTGGGTAGAGTTGTTTGGTCCATGAACTGTTTGCAACCTGTCCTGTTGCTGTGTCTGAAGCAGGTGCAGGGAAGAACTTGGTGAGTGGATGCATTCTGGAGCTTACCTGGCCTTGTAGGTGCTGTCTGGGGTGCTGCAGTCGGGATGGCTGTGGATACAAGAAGACAGCATCCTTCAGTGAAAAGAGAGGGTAACTTGGCAGAGTCAAGGGGGCAGTGTTCTGGTACATGCCATGATTCTGCCTCGTTCTTTTCCTATCATTTTTACAATAAGTGACTTCCCAAATCAGACTGTCTTTTTCATGTGAGTTTTGATGTTTCTCAGGTGTTTGTGTGTGTGGGGAATCCACAGAAGTAAGATTCATGCTTCCTGCCCTGTCACCAGGAATATACAATATTTAAATCGTGCTTTTCTGTGCCCAAGCACAAACATACACAGCCAACATGCTTTGGATCATGCTTGCATCTTGCTGACTCTCCCTGAAGGTGTGTTCTTTTATTAGGTGCTTCTCATTGTCTGATTAAAACCAGGATTTAACACCATTTAGGCACAGTGCCTGCATGTTTGGTAGGTGTAGCTTGGAACCAATGTGAATCACCATCACACTCATGCCAAGATCGTAAGGACAGAATCTCTCAGATGCAGTAGATTTGGGCAGGGAACTGGGAAACGTGAGAAGAGCAAAATGATGGCAATAAACACTAGGAGGGTGGACCGAGGAAGACATGTGAAGCAGAAGAGGGGATTAAGTACCCCACAGAAGGCAACTCACTGATCAGATGTGGAGTCTGGGACTCGGCCTCTGCAAAGACAAGGAAACAAACATTGAGTACCAATGATAGCAACTCTGCTTCTTGCTTTAGGGCAGTCCTCCATGTTCTAGGCTACATCTCCCAGGCATGCTCTTTGAGCCATCCCAGCACTTTGCTGACAGTGCTGGAGACTGTTCTGATTGCGTGATGGACAAGGCAGACGCTAGACACCTGCAGTCTGTCAGCCCCACCTACTTCCTCTGCACGGCAAATGGGGTAGGCCCTGGGGTCATCACTGAACCCTGCAGGCTTCAGTGTCCACATCAACAAAAGGGACTAGGAATGGTGTTACGGGAGAAGATGACACACACAAAGTGCTTAACATGCTGCCTGGACTACAGTAGCCATTCTACCAACATGAGCTGCTCTGCTGAGTACTTTGGTTACTGCTGCGTTGTTTCTGATAAACTCAAGTACAGTGATTCATGTGTCATGGCGAAGATTGCTTTTGGTCAAGCCTATTGGGAGTTTTGTGTCCCTTCTGTATTTTATCTCACAATTCTTTCTCCAGATTAGGAAAGCTTTCCTTTATTATTTTCATTGAATACATTTTTAGATCTAACTTCTCTTTCTATGCCTTCGAGAACTCCCATAGCTCTTATATTTGGCCTTTTAATAATATCACTTATTTCTTGAACACGTTTCTTAGCCTGGACTCAGTTCCCCTCCCAGCGTTTTGATTCCCCGCCCCTCCTTTTGCTGAAGAAAATGTCTTCCAAATTCTGAGATTCTTTCTTCTGCCTTGTTTATCCCATTATAGAGGCTTTCCACTGAATTTTTAATTTGTTGCATTGTATTCTTCTTGACAACAACAAGAAGCACATGCAGTAGTTCAAGGAATTTAAGGAATATGTTATATAGGAAATAGCAGCAACAAATCATATGAAAACTGATATATTGGAAACAAAGGATACAAAGTCTTCAGTAACATTGTGTCTCTTGCTCTTGGTCATTGCTACTCTTGGCAACAGTTTCCTGTTCTCAGACTCTGTTTCTAGACTATGCTGCCTGCTGGTCTGCAGGTTGATTTCACTGATTGTTTCTTTGTTTGCAGCACTTGTGCTGCTCCACTGGCAAGGTTCAGTCCCAGGCTCTTGTGCTAGGTTACCTCCCGGTTTCCGTAACTCCAGCTCCCTGTGCTGTGGCCACACCACTGCCTGCACAGCCTTTGTCCCACTCCCAGTCTGACCAGCTTCAGGGATTAGGGGGACAGGGGACACCAGCTGTCCTAAATCACAGGGTTGTCAGTGGTGCTGGTCTTGCTGGAATCTGCTGGCTGTTAGGTCTTATGGCTATCTGGACCTATTTTGGGTGGAACTTGTTGGATGCCAACTCGTTGCTGTCTTCCCTGTGGGACCAGTGCAATGAGTTAAGCCAGGTTGAGTTCTTTCCTGGTTTGGCACCTGCGCAGCTCACTGCTGGAGGTTGTTCCTCCAGCCTTTTCCTCAGTACACAAAATGGTACCTATTGTGGCAATGACAGGGTCTGAGCCTGCTGGCCATTAGACCAATAGCCAATAGCCTCCAGACCTATTTTGGGTGGAACCTGCAGAATGCCATGTCCGTACTGTTTCCCTGTGGGACCAGTACAATGTTTTGAGTTGGAAGTAAGTTTGCTCCCAGCTTAGCATATGCTCAGCTTATTTTTTCCTCAGTAAACAAAATGGTGCCTGATGTGACACTGGTAGGAGTCTAGGCTATTAAATTCACCCTGTTCTGTACCCGCCTGCTTGGGCTCTGCCACTCTGCCCCTGCTCATAGTCAGATTAAATAAATTATCAGGAAAGGCAGTTCTACACCTGGATTCACCTCCTGAGTGAATTCCCCTTGCCACCTGGCCACTGGTGGAGCTCCAATTGCCAATCACCACTGGGGTATCTGGTCACTGCAAGACCACTCTGCTGTCTCTGCTTTTCCCCCATGTCCACGGGTTTCCAGGTGTCCCTCTGCCCTCGGCCTGTCCTCTCCTATTTCCTGTGTTTCCTTCTCAGCCTACTGCTGCCCCTGATGCCTCCTTATCATTTGTAGCCTCCTAACACCTTTTGCTGAGAGGCAGGCACACGTCAACTTAGCATGCTCTAGCATATTCCATTTGTCTACTTGTTTGACTTTGTCTAGTGTGTGCTTTCTGTTTGTCCTCTAGTTGCATGCCTTGTGTTTATTTGGATCCCCTGTAAGTATCACAAAGATATCTTTCAGGCTGGACCACATCTTCTTCTGCAGGTCACCCCCCCATTGTACCAGACTCAGAGTGTGTCAGAAATGACTCCCTAATGAGCAGGCTACAATGAGCAATTTACATGAAACAAAAACGCTAACAACGATCAGGAATTCATGACATACTATCACTCTGACAAATGCACCTTTGCACCCTTGCATGCAACCCTTACAATAAACCTGGCCAGCAAGGCCCTCTTATCATTTCCATCACTCACAGGAGGAGCTGGGGCTTGGAGGGGTCAAGTTGCTTGTCTACCCCACAGCAAGCCAGGATGGTAACTGTTGCTCTCCATCTTCCTTCTTACCTTTGGCTGTAGAGTAATAGTAAGCAACAAAGTTTTCCCCTGTGGTGTTGAGGCTCCTGAAGTAGACAAGGCTCATGGAGCTGGAGGAGGACACGTAGGTGAGGTGGGTGCCAGAGCAGGCCTTGCCCAGGGACTTGACTGAGGAAGGAGGGCCATCCAGGATTTTGAAATACTCATTGGTACAGTCGAAGCTGGGGAGACAAACCCAAGGCTGCCCTTTAGTCTCCTCGTCAGAGCTCCAGGAAGAGCACTGTGGGGTAGGTGCCTCATGTTCTTACTGTGCAGAGCAGGGAGTGGGTGAAGAGCTTGTGAGTGGTGCAAATGCGGTACACATCCCTTTGGGCCTGGTTCTCAGCTGTGGCAGCTGCCGCCTCGGGGTAAGGTGGCTGTCACTGGAGGCGTGCCCGATGTACCTGTTCTGCAGGCCAGGGAGCATTCCGAGCCCGTGGCACACTGCCAGGTAAATCAAGGCAGTTTCTCCATGTTGCAGATCAGGGCCAGCAGACCAAGAAACTGTGTGATCTTTCTGGGGCCTGCTGCCACACTGGCTCCAGGTTCAAACAACCCATTTGCAAGCTTTTGACTGCTGACCTGCTCATAGGCAAGTAGGCATGCAGATCTGCCCAGCTGACTCAGCACAAGTCATTTGATTTTGCTCATCCTCCACCGGACATTTTGTCCAGAACCCTTAGCCTGTGCCTAAGGGTGGTTCCAGAGGCATAAACCATGATCATCCTTCTAGGAATGATATCAGCCTTGACTATTTATAATGTTATAACTCCAAATTTCCTGACTGGTGAGGTCTAGCACCCTGAATGGTACAGCTCATCCGGCTGGTCAGCACACATGCATTTTCTTTCTCTCATTTCACTCTGGTTTTTTTCTTTGTTTCTCATATATTTAATTTTAATTAAAAATTCATGGAAGCATAAACAAAATCAATGATATTTCTACACACTGATAGTAAACACGAGGAAACCCAAATTGCAAACAGCATCATTTACAATCACTCCAACAGCCACAAAAGGAATTCTTTCTCACAAATGTAACAAAACTGGTATCAAGTTTGTATATAACCAGCTAACATAAAAAACAACACTAACTATTAGCTAGCAATGTGGGGAAACCAAGTCTTTTGTATGTCTTTTGGGGAAGATATAAAATGATAATCTCTTGGATAAAGGGTCAGTTTCTTTATGGTACTAAGTGTTCTGTATCTAGAATGATGGTGATTACATGCATCTGTACATGACCTAACACAGCACAGGACAACCACATACAACTAAAAGCTTGCAAAGAATAGTGGAATCCAGGTGGCCTTTCGCACAGCAGTGAGGACGTCCACATGGCACATCGGAGTGCCCAGTTTAGGCCCATGCCAGCCCCCTCGTTTGGAGCTTCCTGTTGACATGCATCTTGGCAGGCAGCAGATTAGATCTCACATCCTAGGGTCCCTCCCACCCACATGGGGGGACCTGAACTACTACCAGCTGCTGGATTTGTCTGTCCCAGCCCTGGCTTTGTCTGTCCCAGCTCCTGGCTTTGTCTGTCCCAGCTCCTGGCTGTTGTGTTCATTTGGACAGTGAAGCTGCCAACAGAAGATCCTTGCTTATCTCTGTCTCTCTATCTTTCAAATAGAATGAAAATAAATATTTAAAACATTTTTTATTTTACCCATTTGAAAGACAAAATAACAGAGATGCAGGGAGAGACAAAGATACAAATCTTCCACGTGCTGGTTCATTCCCCAAATGGCCACCATGACTAGGGCTGGGCCAGATGGAAGCCAGGAGCCAGGAGCTTCCTGGTCTCCCATGTGGGTTCAGGGGCACAAGCACTTGGGTCATCTTCTGTTGGTTTCTCAGTTGCATTAGCAGGGAGATGGATTCCAAGTAGAGCATCCGGAACACAAACTGGAACCCACAAGCACTGGCAGCAGCATCACTTGATGTGCCAACAGAACCAGCCCCAATTTTAAAAAAAAAAAAAAACATAACAAACATGACATAAAGTATGGAAGAGACTTCAAAAAGGTCATAACAAATATGTATGAAAAAATGCAAAGGTTTAAAATTTTCAGCACCAAAGTGACTTATCTTTATATTCCATTCCCCACAAACTTTCCAGCGGTGCCCTCCGATGCAGTCTACCTAACAGCTCTGATGTCTGCTTCCTGGCTTTGACATGGCTCGGCCACCATCAAGAGAAACTTGCTGAGAAGGACATAGGACCCATTGCATTTGCTGCTTCCTATATGGCCATACTCTCAAAGCAAGAAATTAAGACATTCAGGAAACACTCTCTTACTTAGGACTCAGCCATGGGAATCAGTGACCCGGACCTTTAAGTACACAGTGTTATCAGCAGTGCACTTTGGACCCACCTGAGATAGGGGAACGCCAGCCGGACCTGGTCTGAGGCATTGGCCTTGATTTCCCACATGCAGGTGATGTTGCTGTGTATTTTCCTCTGGGGAGGGTTCCGGATGGCTCCGGATGAGTTGGTGATAACGCCACCACACTGGGATTTTTCTAAACACAAAATGATGGTTCAGAATTTCAGACTGATTGTTCAGTTCACTAATTTCCTAATTTACACCTATTCTTTCTTTTCACTCACTGCCCTCCCAAAATGGTCTTGTTGGTCATTTGTTTGTGTCTTAGGATGTATTAAGGAGATAAGCTAATCTAAAAGCTGGAAACTTAGGGCGTGGGCATACTTGAAATTTACAGTGTCTCTTTTGAGAATTCTTCATCGCCATGGGCTTGCCTGGTGTGGAGTTGGGGGTGCAAGACTGGGTGGTAGGGATTTACTCTTAACAACAGTAGTGTTAAAAGGTTATTAGGGATAAATAGTAAATTGGTGTCTAGAGGCGAGACTAGTTAAGCATGTAATAGTAATAGGTGTACAAGGGTGCTGAGTAGGGATAAGGCAAGCTTTCAGCTGTTAACCACTCTTGGCTTCGGTAACGCTTGTTAACGCTTGGCTTCTGTAATCACTGCTTGGCTTTGCTGCATAAAGAACAGGAAGGATGCCAGGATAGGCCCAAGGTCAGAGAGTAGGCCTAAGTTTCACTTCACTCCAAAGTTTCATTTTTCTCAGAGTGATGGAGTGGGCAGTGGGGAACAGCCTTGGGAACTAGGCCAATCATGGGCAACCACACGTCCACAAGTGACATTACCAAGATAAGGACTGCTTGCTAGAGACGTGTTGTGCATGACTAGGAGGGAATAAAAAGAGTCTGCAAGAGACAAGTGGGGTCCCTGTCAAGACCGCACTGTGTTGGATGGGACATGGACCCTAGCTCAAGCTAGCAATAAAGTTTCTTTGCTTTTGCATTGTTGCATGTGGAACTTGTCTGTCTGTGGGTCAGGGATCTTTCGGACCTAACATTTGGGGGGCTCATCCGGGATCCCCACAGTGGACAGGTCTTTCCATGGAACATAGAAACTTGTCTGAGACACCAGTTGGGAGGACTGGTCGGAGTTTGAGACAGCTAGTCAAAGGTGACGACTAGTTGAAGGGCCCAGAGGGAGCCGGCATAAGATCTAAGCAGATGCACAGGGCGGTCTCCGGCTGCGAGGTGGGGAGATGTCCCCACCATCCTACAGGAGTTCCGAGAGCCACTTAGTGAGGAGTCATTTCCAAGATCTGGTAGGTGAGGAACTTTTCTGGATGCATGCTTAGAGTGTTGTTTTGGTATGTGTGTCTGTGTTCAGTAGAAAATAGATTTAATTATGTATATATTGTCTGGATTGCTTGGTGATTGTTTAGCGGTTTGTGTGACTATTGTTGAGGGTACTTTGTGGTCTGTGTTGGTAGTGATGGGTGTGTATGGACCAAATCTTTTCTTAAGTTCACTTTTTCCTCACCTTGAGTAAATGCTGTCAGTAGGCACAGAAGCTCCGAAGGTCCAGGGTTGCCCCAGAAATGAGGCAGAGGCAAGGAGCAGGGGTGGGTGGGAATGAAGTTGGTTCACCTTGACTTTGTCTAGAACTGGTTTACTGATCACCTACCACGGGGGAAGAAGCACTCTCATCCACCCCTCTGCCACCCTCAGAACTGACCAACCAGAGTGTTCTACAATACCTGAGAAATTGAGAACCTGCTTGCTGTGTGCAAAGGCACATGGGATAGGAGGAGAGGTGGTGAGAGAGATGCTGGGCTAGGTGAATCCTCAGCCCTAGTCCATCTGTCTCACTAGATAACCAGGTGGGTCTGTATCACTCAGTGACCCCACTGGCTTGGAGTATAAGACACAGCCAACTTCCAGAACTTGCTTTCCTTCAATTAACCTTTCTTTAAAGTGTATTTGTACCAGGAAACAGCCCAATTCTAAGTGCCTCACATTTTCTTTCATTTATTCATACCATTCACCTGACTCCTGAAATGCTGTCTCCCATTCTTGCCTCCTTCCATCCTTTCTATTCCAGCCCAAGTTTCCCCCTTTTAGGAAGTTCTCATGATCATCTGGACTAAGCCTGATATCTGCTTTCTCCAGCCCATTACTGTGACGCTCGTGGGTCTGGCCATGCTGTCCTGAGTGGAACAACTCGGGACACGTCCTGTCTCCCCAGCAGGGGTAGGACAGGCAGGCAGGAGGAGTGAAAGAGCAAGGAATGTTGAATTTCAGGAGACTGGGCCTGCAGCTCAGCAGCCCCATCTAGCTGCAACTTGAGGAGAGGTGATTATGTCACAAGCTCTGTTGAGGCTGAAGAATATGCACCTGGCAGAGCACGCCTCATGGTCTGTCCTGGTTGGCAGGTGAGTCGAAGTGTGGAGGTGCAGGAGGGTCTGCTTGGGCGATGATGCCAACACACAGGAGTGTGTTCCAAGAAGGTACAGAACGTCACACAGAGAGCACCCACTCACCCGGGAGCACCCCACAGCACCCCGCAGCACCAGCCTGGCCTGAGAATGCAGGAAGAGTGCAGCTGGGCTTGCCCGGGGATACAGTCACATTTTTCCTGTTAATGAGACTTGTCTCCCCCTTGGACCACAGACTTGTCTGGGTCATCTGTGTTCCTACTGCAGGACCTGGCTCAATGGTAAGCACACAGTAAGTAAGTAAGATGAAAGCTTACTAATCAAGTACAGAAAAGATGCCCAGTGTGGGTTCAGGCAATGGAAATTCACAGAGCCACACGGTCTCTTGGGCTCTGTGCCAGTAGGAATGCAGGAGCCAGAGGTGAGTGCACACCTGGGCACTCTGACAGGGCATGTGGTTCATCTAAACAGCATCTTAACTTACAAGCCACCTGCCTGCTTCCTGCCACTCAGTTTTCTTCATTGCATTATGTGACAGCCACTCAGTTTTGTCTATGATTTCTTGCTGTTTTTAAAAGTTCTTCAACCACCCTGCCCTGAAAGGATACTGAACCTGATCTAGAAAGTGAAGCAGGTTCAGGGATGGCACCTATATTGCTTGGGATCAGAATCCTAGAATGTGGAAGGACCAGCTTTTCCTACTATTGAGCAGTGCCCCGCAAGGTGCCCCTCTCTCATCTTGCTCAGATCAGTGCTCAGGCACCTCCATACACAGCCCCTAATTGCCCAGGCAAGGCTTTTCTTACCTGCTGACGGCAGTGACAGGGACTCAGCGACTGTGGTCAGTGGGGGCTGTGAGACAAGATCGGCTACAAGAAAAACAAGAACGTCAGGGCCAGCGACTAGAAACGAAAACCAGTGAGAATCTTGCAGATGCAGGCACAAGGGTTGACAACCGTTTTGTTCACCTGCCTGTCTTTTCTTCAGCTCAAATGCCATCACCCTTCTTCCCTTGCGGATTTGTGTTGTGGCCCTTCCGGAGCAGGGAGCAGGCCAGTCCTGCAGAGCAGCCCTGATACCCTCCAGGCCTACCGGGAGGTACGAGGACACGTTCCTGCATTGTTTGGGCTGGCTCAGCTCCTCACCCCTCCTGCTTGTAATTCTCAGAATGACTGCAGAAGACAGCTGAGAACACAGTATCCTGAGATGAGAAGGAACTGTCTGGGACAGCCTGGCTCTGTCCTTGTCCTTCCTAGAACATGGCGTTTGGCAGCACATGTCAAACGGCCCTGAGGCATGAAACACAGAGCCAGTGTTTCTCAGGGTTTCCAGCTGCCAGAGAAGTGGAGCAGGTGCTAATGAAACTCCACCCGCCCAAGGCTTCAGGGAGAGGTAGGACCATGGGGACCTTATGTTCTCTTTGAGCCCCTGCCAGGGCCAAGAACCCTTGCACCAGCCATTTCATCCTAGATTGATTCTTTTTAATTCCAATTAATCTGTAAAAAATAACTCTGCATTGATAAAATCTCGCATCACTGCCACTGGTCAGCGCATTTAGCCAATTAAATAAATGTATGTGTGGATGGAAAAAAGGAAAGAAGAAACCTAACGTGGCCGGAAAGGCAACTTGCTGCTGGGCTAACACACCCCTGCCACACTCAGTTTGTCACTGAGTTGGGGGCTAGCAGGAACACAGGATGAGCTCAAGGTCTCACCTCAAGCAACTTGAGTTAACGACTAGTCCTGCTATGCTGTTTGCCTTCAGCATCCTTGGACTGACTGTGCCACGCCAGTTCTGATCTCAGGGAGAAGGAGCACAGAGGTGAGGTCAGTTGTGAAAACTCAGCCTCACACAGTCCCTGCCTAGAGAACCATGGGTCCACCAGCAGTGTTCAGTGTGTGTGAAGCAACTGGTAACTCTGTAAAGAATGCCTGAAAGAACGCATTGTTTGGTTATTGTCCTACAAAGATTTAAAAAGACATGTATTACTTTAAGATTTAAAAATGTAAGATACTGTATTAATATATAAAGTTAATTATTAGACTTCAATTTCTTATTTTGAGACATTTAACCATGGAAAGCATGTACAATACAAAGACAAGTAAATATATTTCTATATTTTTAAAAACCTTATAAATGTTGAATTTTAGACTTACTCTGTGGCTATGGAAGGGTCGACATAACAGTACAAGAGTTAGTGCTACAGGAAGTGTGTGTGCTTGTGAAGAGACTAACAACGGGGACCGGGGCATCTTTATAGAGACGCAGTGTGCATCACTGCGACACGGAGCTATGTGTGAAAGCAAAAGGAGAACATCATATTTTGTCCACAGAGGCTTTTCTAGATAGGCACTGTTTCATATCCACAATGCAGCCACCCGTTAAAATCTCATAGCTCAGAGCTGGCACTGTGATGTAGCAGACTAAACCTCCACTCAGGGTGCCACATCCCATAGGTACCAGCCTACAGGTGCTGGTTTGAATTCTGGGTGCTCCATTCCCCTCTGGCTCCCTGCTGATGTGCCTAGGAAAAGCACTGGAGGACACCCCCACATCCACATGGGGCACTCGGAAGCTGTAGGTTTCCGGCTTCAGACTGGTCATGGCAGCCATCTGGGGAGTGAACTAGCAGGGGAGGATCTTTCCTTCTCTCTAACTCTGCTTTTCCTGTCATTTTCTCAGTGTGATTGGCTGTTGGTGCCATCTCCACTGAGAAGCTCTGTGTGATTCTTGCAGGACAGAAGGGCAGGGAGCTGTGCTCCGGTGTGAATTCTGCTTTCACCACTTCCTGGCGAGTCCTCCCTGCCTCATTTTACCCATAAGTAAGTGGAAGAAAGTGCCACTTTCCTTATCGTGCTTGTTTGCTGTGAGATTAGGCGAGGACACGATAAAGTCAAAGCCCCTGGCGCTGACCCTGGTGTCTGTAACGCCTTGAGCAAGGCTGTTTCCGTGTGTGCACTGCCCCAAAAGTGAGTACTCAGAAGCTTGTTCCAGAGACTCACCTCCTGGCCTGAGTGCCAAGGGCAGGGCTGTTGATGCAGACACAGGCGAGGGCGCTGGCAGCACGTGTCCTGATGCTGTGAAAAATGAGAGAGGGCAAGTGTTCACAGCAAGAACCACATGGAGTTCTGACTCGGGGGTGTCTCGGGGAGCCCTTGGCCCCTGCTGATGACCCTCTCCACACTGCTGGCTCCTCCCACCCCAAGGGCAGGAGGAAGATGCTGCTGAGCTGTGAATTCAGAACAGGGCCGTGCGAGGAGCTGCCTAGTTCCACCGTCATCCTGTTTGGGAGCCAGCCTGACTTCAAAGTGCCTGTCCCTTTTCCCACCTCCCAAGGCAGAAGTGCAAGGTCGCTCTGGGGTGGGACAAGCCTTTGGTTCCCACCTGAGCTGCTTTCCTCAACCCAGGCTCTCTGGCTATGCTGGCCTCCATTTACCATTTTCCCACTTGATTAAAGTCAAGTTGTAAAAAAGCTGTGCTGTTCTCAAGTGTGGGAGAGGAAAGGCTAATTGACTGACTGATTTTCGTTCTGAGATCCCTGCAGGCAGGGCCAATCCTTGACTCTGCTCACTGGATGCAAGGCCTGGGCAGGGAAGAAACACCGCATTTTGTGGTTGCTGTGGAGTGGCAATATTGTGAAGAACTTAACTATGTGGCACACCAGGAATGCCCAGGGAGTGCTTGGTGTCACATTAGCTATGCCAGGGAGACATTGCTGGGGCGAGAGTGGCATGAAGGCCAGGGTGCCGTGGCTCACGTGGGAGGTAACAGCCGATCAGCACAGCAGGGACATCATTCCCAATCCCACACAGGAGAATGACATGCTTGCAGTGAGCCCATTTGGGCCAGCTAGCCTCAATACAGCACTGTGGCTTCCCCACCAAGCACAGCTGTAAACAGGGGAGAATTCACTTTCCTGTCTTGGAGCTCTGTTGTTCAGCTTGTAAAACACGTTCCCCGTGAGCTGCACACTCTGCTTCTCGGAGCGTCCGCAGGCCCATTTTGAGATCTCGCTGTTGTTAGCTTGCACTCTGCCTGTGTAAGTGGCAGGGATTTGGGGCTCTCGCCTGATGTGTGGCTTGTTCACCCGGAGAGTGGGTTAGCACAGCTTGCTTCCACACCATTCCTCAGTGAAAACGAATTCTCACTAAAATCATTGTGAGGCCAGTCAGACTAGCTTGGGGCTCAAAACATCACTTAAGATGGCTCACAGGTGTTTTAGGGTGAGCTGATTTGTGGCTCCAGCTGGCAGTTGGTGACACAGTGCTGAGGAGAAGTGGGCTTAAGCATCAACAGGGGACACGTGTTGTCCCTGGGCGGGCACAGGCCAATGATGCAGGAGGCAGGCTCGCTCTCAGGACTGCAAGAGCATCCATTGGTAGGAGGTGGCCTCCTCAGCATCTGCCAGGTCTGCAGACACACCAAGTAGGACATCTTCTCTCTGTCCTATTGTCACTCCTCCTGTGTTGTCATTCTCACAGGAAAGAGTTCATCCCTGTTTCACAGTGAGGAGGCTAAGCCTGTTGCCTTTTGCCTTGCACAGCAAGGGGTAAGTCATCTAACCTCACTGGACACCTTGGGAACAGGTGCAGTAGCAATGGACAGGCCTCATGAATCAATGGGCCATTCTTTGGATTTTCCAGAAATAACTTCCAGGAGATAGAAAAAGGAGTTTGCCAGGAATCTTAGGGATGTGGTAAGTAGCCCAGTTTGAAAATAGAAAAATCACCACTGCCTTTTAATCAGGTGTCCGCACAGTAAAGAGGCATCAAGCCACTCCGCTATCCTCCAGGTGTCACTGCTCTGGACTGAGGATGTGTCTTGCACCAAGGAAATGCAGCAGCCAGAGCCACAGCAGCAGGGCAGGATGTCCTACCTGCAGGTGTCACCTCGGCAGAAGCAGCTCCAGCGCTTGGGCTGGGCAGGAGGCCTGGCGATCCACCAGCACCTGAGGGTTGACATGCATCAACATGGCAGGTTAACAGGTGTGTCTCACACTGTTTACCATGCTGAGCCAGGCTGAAGGTGCCTAAAGAGACACAGAAGTCATGACATCCAGGGAGAGGACAGCCCCTCACCTGAGCAGATGACGCTGGCGTCCTCCAGGTGCCCACAGTTGTGCCTGGCTGGGACCCCGTGCATGCACTGTCCCAGGTGGCTCTCACTGCCCACACACTGCATGTCATCCAGCCAGATCTTTCCAGCACCTGCCCCAAAGTGGGCTCCTGAGGGTGCTGCCACTGCCCGGCCACACTGCAGCTGGTGGCACACGACAGCAGCCTCGGCCAGGTCCCAGCCGTCGTCACACACAGTCCCCCAGATATCCTGGATGAGGACCTCCACTCGGCCTGAACACTTTTCTGGGCCATTCTGCAGCCTCACCTCCATCCGGGTTCCTGGGGAGGCACAAAGAGGGGGTGATTGGGCACTGGCCCACCAATTCTAGAAATTTCTTTGACCTTTGACTGCCCTGGGGGCGTGGCTCCATCCTCATCTTACAAATACACAAGCTCACACTGTTCTTGTGCACCCACATGTTAGAAAGAGCCAGGATAACATTCAATCGCAAATGCCAATAAGACTTGGCTCCATCTTCCTTTCCAAACATTGCAGATCTCTGTAGGAAACTTCCAAAACTTCTACATCTCTGCTAGCAAGAACAGTTCACTTGTGATGTCTCTTATACGGAGACAAATAGAAATGTGTTAATACAGCTAAGGAAATATTGAACTAGAAAATTTATGAGCTGATCATAACTATAGTCTGCATCACCCAGAAATACTTTAGTCTTAGAATAACTTGTTCTTGGGTCCCATAAAAATCTTGCTTCTCGACTTCACCATGCAGAGGAAACAGGATGGGATATAGCATTTGTTGTGAGTTCAGTACCTGAGAACCAGCAATGTAAGCATTTCTCTGTTAACCTTCGTAAGTGGAAATAGGCTCTCTGTTAAGAAATGAAGACTCAGAGATGGCTTCAAGTCCCACAGCATGGACGTGGGCTGTGGTCTCTCCCAGGCTGGAGAAATGCCTCCAGCACAGGATCATCCCTATCTTCCCAAGCCTTTCCTGCACTTACAGATACGGGAGTGGGGGCCTCAGGAGTTGCTGTGGTGGCTGAAGGCTGGCAAAGGACATCAGCTTAAACAACAGCAAGCATAGACCATGGGCGGCAGGCGGGTGAAGAGAATCAAGCAAATGTAAACTCATCCTATGACCCCATGTCCTTCAGAAACTTTGGTTTATTCTCTCTGCTATTCCTCTGTCACTACCACCACCATGAAATGAGATTATTTCACTTTTTATTAGCTCACTAAGTGATCATAGTAAACTTAATGTTGGATTCCTTGCTCAGCAGAAATAAACATGTTACAAGAAGAAGAACTTAAGGCCATTTCACTTAAAGAGATAAAAACAGTCTCTTTAATAACGCTGTGTGATGCTATTCACCCAAAAACTGTGAGATGCCAAGAAATGAAGACAGAGTGCCTGCTTTCAAAAGGCTTCAGAACAGGCAGGTGTTCATTGTAGTAGTTGAGATGCCACGAGAGACATTACATCCAAGATCACAGGGCCTGTGTTTGAGTCCCGGCTCTGCACACAAACCCAGCTCCCCGCTAATGTGCACCCAGGGAAGCTGCAGCTGATCACCCAGGGTCCCTGCCACTCTTGAGGGGAACCTGGATTGAGTTCTAAGATCCTCCTATCTTTGATCTGGTCTAGCCCCAGCTGTCGTGAGCATCTGAAGCATGAACCAACAGAAAGAGCGCGCTCTCTCTCTCTCTCTCTCTCTGAAATAAAATTTAAAATGTCAACAACTGGCAAGTATTAAGTAGCTGCAATGTGAGGTGGGTTATGGAGGAAGTGAGCATAGGGGGCATAGCCCAGAGAAAATGTCTCCTGGTGGAGACCAGAGACAGAAGGAGAAACAGAGCACTGAAACCCTGGTGGGACTGGCACAGGTGGAGGAGAGGAGCACTCCTTCCAGCAGCGCCAGAGTTGGAGCACAGCAGCCTCGGTTTCAGAAATGAAGGGAGGTGGAACAGTGTGTTTTAATTTGCCTGGAGTACCCCAGTGGCATAGGCATTAATCCCAATACCTGGATTTCTACGATTTCCTTAACACACATAATGCGGGAAACTTCTCAAGAAAAGGCACATAAAGGAAAGAGAACTCGAGTCAAGTGTATTTCATAAGCATGGCATCCTGGAACTTCCAATCGAGATTTTAATTTGGCCAATTGTATGTTATCCATAGGCATCATACATAGGGAAACTTGTTGCATTGGCTTAGAGCAGTGTTTCCTCACCTCAGGGGACCATGGGTTCTGGGTGTATGTGTGTGCAGGTGCATGCATAGTTCACCTCCTCATCTTACACAGCCAGGGGTTCTAGGAGCAGATGCTCAGAAACCTGCTCACTCCAAGGAGGGACCGGGGGTGATTGTCAACATTTGTCATTCAATTTCTATTTTGTTCGGGTTGCTGTAACTAGGAAGTCTCTTAAGATTCTAAGAAATACATGAGCTGTAAGATTTCAATGTAGACCCAGAAATGGAGGTTACCTGTTGGTGTCTGTGTTTCTACAGCAGTGAGAGTCTCCCTTGCTAGTTCTGTGACTGCCAGGGAAAGAAAACGTGCATTAGTGATGAATGGCATCCCAAGGGACAAACCAAACCCTGACCAGGGAAAGCTCCCAGACACTCCCATTTCTAATGGTTCCTTGTGAAACACAAGAAACCAGTTCTAAGGACTCAGTGAGTTTCGATATGAAAGGTGTGGCATATTCTAACCTGCAATCTAGTTCTTATCATATTTCAGATAAAATTCATTTTCCTGACCCCAAATTGCTAAGAATCAAGTCATAAAGAGCAGGAAAGAATTCTATAAACCGGGCCTGGTGTGGTGGCACAGTGGTTAAGGTCCTCGCCTTGCACGCCCGGGATCCCATATGGGCGCCGGTTCTTTCTAATCCCGGTGGCCCCGCTTCCCATCCAGCTCCCTGCCATGCATTCAGGGTATTATCACAATATTTCAAATTTTAAAAATAACTGATCCTCTTGGCAAAAAAAAAAAATAATCCACTAGCAACAAAAAAATAGACATTGAAGCTAAAATGTTAAATGATTTTTATAATTGCAGCCAAACCCACAAAATTGGTTTTTAAAAGATTTACTTTTATTTATTTGAATGTCAGAGTTGCACAGAGAGGAGAAGCGGAAAAGTAGGGTGGGAAGGAGGAAAGAGGGAGAGAGAGAGAGCTCTTCCATCCATTAGTTTACTCCCCTACTGGCTACATTGGCTGGGGTTGGCCCAGGCCAAAGCCAGGAGCCAGGAGCCAGGAGCCAGGAGCTCCTCCAGAACTCCACATGGGTGCAAGAGCCCAAGCACTCAGGCCACCTTCCGTTGTTTTCTCAGGTGCATCACAGGGAGATGGAGCAGAAGTGGGGCAGCTGAGACTTCAGTTGCTGCACACACGGAAAGCTGGCATTGCAGGTAGAGACTTAACTGGCTATGCAGCAATGCTGGCTCCACACCCTCTAGAAAAATTTAAACAACATATATGTGTAAAGTTTGTATTCAGAATACTGAGATAAATGCCTAAATAAATAAAAGGATGCACTATGTTGATAGAAAACTCAATACTAAGATGTCAAATTTTTCTGAAGTTTTATGTAGACTAAACATAATCCAAATTCAAAATCTTGGAAAGCATTTTTGTAGAATCTGATAAGTTGATTTCTTGGGGGGTGGAAATCCTTACATATCTATATCAAAGCAATATTATGTATATTTTAAGTATATATGATTTTTAATTTATCCATCATGCATCAATGAAGCTGGAAATATATAATTGACATAAAAGCCAAAAAAAACCTAGGTTAGCTCAACAATTTGAAAAAGAAAAAAAAGAACAAATCTGGAAGACTCACACTGGTGTCTCAACACTCGATGGAACATGAGGCTAGAGGAGCCCAAACCAGACCAAGCGTGTTCAGCTTTTGATGCTTGGCAAAATGATCAAAGTATTTCAGCAAAACCAGGAGGATCCCAACAAATAGCGTCAGAATAATTAGGTATCCATGTGAGAAAAAAATAATTGAACCATATCTTAAAAATCATAAAATATGGTTTCAAATTCATACCCTAAAATTACACAATTTCCAGAAGAAAAACAGCAAAGAAATCTGGGAGGCCATTGGTTAGGCAAGGATTTCTTAGATAAAACATAAAAAGCACAAGCTTAAATATTGGTTAACAGGACTTCATCACAATTCTGTTCTTCAAAAAACACTGCTAAGTCATGAAAAGATGAGTCACAGCCCGGAAGAGAACGTTTGCAAAATGCCTATCTGACCAGGTGTGAATATCTATCACACATAAATAACCGAATTAACAGAAACAAGACAATCCAGGTTTTTAAAAGACAAGAATAAGCAATTTGAACAAATATGTCAACAAAGAGATGTGTATCAGCAATGAAAACCACGCAGCATGTGCAAAATGTTGCTTTAGTGTAAATAAACCCGTGTAATGATTTCCACCAAAAAAAAATCCACTGATCAATTTCTATGAAAATGCCTTCCTGTGTGTCCAGTCTATGTACAAATCACTGGTCATCAGGGAAATGCAAAGTAAAACCACAAGGAGATATCACTATCGCATTGTAGTAGAGATCTTTTAATAGACTTACAGAATAGACATTGTCAAGTGCTGGTAGGCACAGAAGGGAACTGTGATGGTACAGAAGCTCTCAACTTGCACATAGTGTCTGGAGTAGCTTAATTCATAACGGTAAAAATTGGAAACACACTCACGGTCCATCCAGTGGGGTATGGACAAACAGGTTCTGGTACATTGAACCACATTAATGAATCTCAAAACATTTTGCTAAGAATCCCAACACAAAAATGTGAAATTCTGTCTAATTATACTATGCATTATTCTGGCAAAGGGAAAGCCACAAGCAGAAATCATACCAGTGGGTGTCATGATCTATGAGTGAGGCAGAGTTTATAAAGATGCACTAGACAGGCATCGTGGCGCAGTAGAGCAGTGGTTTAAGCCACTGTCTGCAATGCCAGCATCCCACATAGATGCAAAGCTTCTGGCTCTTGGCTTCTGTCTGGTGTAGGTCTGACCTAGTCTCCTACCATTTGGGGAGTAAACCAGTGGATGACTCTCCTTAACTCTGATTTTCAAATAAATAACTAAATAAACATTTTTTAAAAAATTGTAATCACTTATTAAAAGTTTGAACCACATAGTAGTTTTTACTATAGGCACATTATATTCCAATGAACCCAACTTGGAAAAAAAAAGATAACTCTTCATACACATGAAAAACTAGAATGTGGGAAGCCCCTGGGTACAGAAGCCAGTTAGGAGAACATGATCATGGGGGCAGGAAGGGGCAGCAAAAAGCTGGATCAAGAGAGCAGCCACCAGATGCAGAGGCCAGGAGCTCAACCTACAAGCCCAGGGACAGATGCAAAGACAACACAGCTACAGAAACCTAGTCCTGTAATTCTACATATCCAGTGATCTGCCCATGATACAAAGCTGTACTTACTTAATAGATCAGTGTTAGATGGTGATGGTGGTAATGCTGGTGATGGTGATGTTAATATTGATAGCAGTGATGTTGCTGCTGGTGCTGATGGCAGTGACGACTGTAATTCTGATGCTGCTGGTGGTGAAGAGGATAATGATGAAGGTGATTGTGGTGGTCCTAACGTGGGAAGTGATGACTGCGGCAAAGATGCTGGTAAGTATGAGGATGATAATGGTAATGATGGTAAAAATGATGATGATGGTGAAGTTGAGGATGATGGTGACAGTGATTCTGCTGATGGTGAAGAAGGTGATGGTGATGGGGATGATGGCCGTGATGACTGTGACAGAGATGATGGTGAAGATAATGAAGACATTGATGACGATGGTGGCAGAGGTGACTGTGGCAGTGATGGTGATGATGATGAAGGTGGCAGTTGTGATGGTGATTTTGAAGATGAAGATAATGAAGGCAATGATGTTGATGGTAGCAGTGGTGATGGTGGCAGTGATGGTGATGATGGTGGTGATTGTGGCGGTGGTGCTGGTAATGGTAAAGGTGATGATGATGGTGGTGATGAAGATGATGGTGATTTTGGTGGCAGTGGTGATTTTGAAGATGATGAAGGCAGTGATATCAATGGTAGCAGTGGTGATGGTGGCAGTGATGATGATGGGATTGGTGATGATGGTGATTGTGGCGGTGGTGATGGTGATTTTGAAGATGATGATGGTAATGATGTTGATGGTAGCAGTGGTGATGGTGGCAGTGATGGTGATGATGATGGTGGTGATTGTGGCAGTGGTGCTGGTAATGGTAAAGGTGATGATGATGGTGGTGATGAAGATGAGGTGATTTGGTGCAGGTGATTTTGAAGATGATGAAGCAGTGATATCATGGTGCAGTGGTGATGGTGCAGTGATGATGATGGATGGTGATGATGGTGATTGTGGCGTGGTGATGGTGATTTTGAAGATGATGATGGTAATGATGTTGATGGTAGCAGTGGTGATGGTGGCAGTGATGGTGATGATGATGGTGGTGATTGTGGCAGTGGTGCTGGTAATGGTAAAGGTGATGATGATGGTGGTGATGAAGATGATGGTGATTTTGGTGGCAGTGGTGATTTTGAAGATGATGAAGGCAGTGATATCAATGGTAGCAGTGGTGATGGTGGCAGTGATGATGATGGGATTGGTGATGATGGTGATTGTGGCAGTGATGCTAGTAATGGTAAAGGTGATGATGATGGTGGTGACAATGATGCTGGTGATGATGGTGGTGATGACGGTGATGGTGGTAGTGGTGATGGTGATTTTGAAGATGATGACGGTAGCAGTGGTGCTTGTGGCAGTACTAATAATGATGCTGCTACTGCTGATGATGATGATTGTGGCAGTGATGCTGGTAATGGTGAAGAGGATGAAGGTGATGAAAGTGATGATGATACTGAAGATGATGATGAAGACAATGATGATGATGATGGTGACAATGGTGTTTGTGGCAGTGATGATGGTGATGATGATGATGATGATGGTGGCAGTGGAGATGCTGATGGTGATGCTGGTGATGCTGATGGTGATGATGATTGTGACGGCGATGCTGGTAATGGTGAAGAAGATGAAGGTGAAGATGATGATGATTGCGGCAGTGGTGATGGTGATTTTGAAAATGATGATGAAGGCAAAAGTGATGATTGTAACAGTGGTGTTAGTGGCAGCGATGATGGTGATGATGGTGGCAATGGAAGTGATAACTGTGGCAGTGGTGAAGGTGATATTGAAGATGATGGTGATGGTAGCAGTGGTAATTGTGGCAGTGATGCTGATAATGGTGAAGATGATGATGATGATGATGAAGATGGTGGAAGTGGGGATTGTGGTAACGGTGATGATAAAAGTGAAGATGACGATGATGATGGCGTTGATGATTGTGGCAGTGACGATGATGATGGAGGCAGTGTTGACTCTCTCAGTGATGATGATGGTGATAAAGATGCAAAAAGTGAGAATGATGATGATGGTGATGATGCAGGTAATGACTCTGCTTCTATTTATTAGGATAAAAAGATATTTCTTTTCTGTTACATTGTAAGATAGCAATTTTCCAAGTATGGCTTCAGACCACCAGTATACACGTCCTAGGTGTATTAAAAATGTAAACTCTCAACTCTACCCTATACCTGCTGAATCACAGCTCTGAGTGTGGGCTTAGCCAGCTGTTTTCGTAAAGCTCTTCAAGGGATTTGGATGCACAGCAGGCTTAGTGAATTGCTCCTTTAGGACAAAGAAGCACTTGAAGTGCTCCCTGGTCCTAGTGATTGGAGGATGCAGCCCGAATGTGTCCCCTGTAACGTTTTCAATTGGTGTCATGCTTGTGCCTGTTGGGAATAATTTGCCTTTCTAGAATCCAGAGGGATGGTTTTCTGACTGTATCCGTCTAAACAGTGCCTGCATCCCCTGTGAGGACCAGGACTTTGCCCCGGGATTCTGTAGCCTGAAGTCGGGGGACTGGCACAGTGAATAGCTGTGCTTGAATAGCTCTACTTTGCCTGCAGCTCAGCTGCCACGTGACAGCTGTGATGTGGGAAGGTCCCACACTTTGGAGACTGGGTGTTGGGAGCTCATTCCTAACTTTGTTGCTGGTGCTGTTCTTCAATATTGAACCCCTGCCAAGCCTCACTCTAAAGGGTCCTGGTGTTTATCTTGGGAGAGGAGGTACTCAAGGTAAACTCTTCCGGTTTCCTGAGAAGGAGAGCCTGGGTGTCCACAGGCCAGAGGAGCCTCACTGTATGCCAGGTCCATCCTTGAAGGGGTCTGGAATATCAACCAGAAAGCCTCCTAGACCTTGGGTGACTACAATTTCAACCCTGCACTTCTGAAGACTCGATGTAGCAGGCTCCATTTGCATTATGATACATAAATATTAGCCCAACAAATCATAAGTATGTTGAATAGGATCCAGAAAAAGCCCCAGCCCATCTCACCTGGAGCAGGTAGGCCTGCCATGAGGGAACCTGTGAAAGGGGAGAGAGGAAGACATCAGCTTGCAGGATGAGGTCACAGACCCATCCCACCCAGGAGTCATTCAGAAGGCAACCCTCACCGGCACAGATGGCTCCGGCATCCTCCCCATGCTGGCAGTCGTGCATGAACCAGCTATTGTGGGTGCACAGGGCCAGGAGGCTTTCCTCACCACTGCAGCGCACGTTGTCCAGGAGAATCCTTCCAAAGCCTGGGCCAAAGTGGGCACCAAGGGGCGCAGACAGGGCTGGGCCGCACCCAAGCTGCCTGCACACGACCTGGGCCTCCCGCAGGCTCCAGCCGTCATCACACACTGACCCCCAGGTGCCCTGGTAGGAAACTTCCACACGTCCGGAACACCTGCCAGTGCCATTCACTAGCCTCAGCGCTGGCCAGGCCCCTGTGGACAAAGGAGTGGGGCTGCCTTTGTCAACTCGCCTGAAGAACTGCCACCCCTACCACCACCTGCCTGGTTGACAGGTGTAGAAAGAGTGCTGCCTCAAGCAGCACAATGCCATGTGCTCAGCTTGGTCATTGCACAAAGCTGGTCGGAGGGCAGAAGGGGCATTTCTCATGCATTGTTGCTTTAGAACCTGACATCTGCCTGGTAAAACTGAAACCTGGCCGTTTAGGAAAACGCTCTTCATCTATGAGGGAGCATTCAGGTTGTATATTCAAAGTGGAACATTCCATAGCAGTTAAAAGCATTGAAACTCATAGCACACGCACATGTATGAATGAGTGTCAACATGGGTGATGCTAACACAAACAGAACATCGGATAAAGAAAAACCTGTATCAGATTGTGTGAAAGGAAAAAGACACACATACAAATCATCTAACTTGTATATGTAAAATAGGACTAGAAAGAAATATGTAAACTCTAAGAGGGTGTTTCTTTGTGAGGAAGGAGAAGAGGCTGATACGTAGGGATTGCTGAGAGCTCCAAGTTGAACTAATTTTCATTTTTTTGATAAGGCCGGAAAATCTATGCAGTCAAAATGCAAGCTTTGCTCATGGCTGGGTAAGGATGCCATGGATACTTTCTTGTTCTCTTATTTTCTGACCTACACAAGCATTTTCTTGCAACAGCAGGAGTATGAGGGTGGCCAGAGGTGAGGCTGCCTGTGGGACCAGCTAGTCACTCATACCCTGGGAGACACAGTACTTGCCCTGTGTACTGCCCGCCCCCCCAACCCCCAGCTCAAGCAAGCTTCCTTCCTCCAGGGATCCACAAGCATAAAGGCGTATCCCATCAGGAAGCAGGAAGAGGGCTCACCAGGTAGGCTGTGCTCACCAGGAAGGCTGGGCTCAGGCATGATGGCTCTGTAGCTGGCAGGTGGCGAGTCAGCAACAGGTAGAACTGGAATGACATGGAGAAGGGCATCAGGGCTGAAGCTTCCTTTCCTGAGGATTCCACAGGGCACATCAGAAAAGGCCTCGCGGGTCCAGCCCAATAGCCTTGCATGTGTCAGGATCTTATATGGGCGCTGGCTTGTGTCCTGACTGCCCCACTTCCCATCCGCTCCTTGCTTATGGCTTGGGAAAGCAGTTGAGGATGGCCCAAAGCCTTGGGACCCTGCATCCAAGTGGGAGACCCTGAAGAAGCTCCTGGTTCCTGGCTTTGGATCAGCTCCACTCCAGCCATTGCGGCCACTTGGGGCGTGAATCAGTGGACAGAAGATCTTTCTCTCTCCTTCTCCTTCTCCCTGTAAATCTTGACTTTCCAGTAAAAATAAATAAATATTTTTTTTTAAAAAAAGAAAAGAAAAGAAAAAAATATCTCTACTAGCAATTAGCAAAGAGCCACTGGCAACTTCACACCTTACTCCAATGTCTGCATGGCTCACGATATCATAGTGAGCTACCAGATGTTGGAGGTGCTTAGTTCAGGTTGCTGACAGAAAGCTCCTAAGTGGGATTCTACTGTCCCCAATGCCTTTTATCCTTAGGCCCCTGAATTAAGACCTTAGGGTCTTTGGCATAAGGGTGCTCAGCAGCAGGAAGTCATTGAAGAACCGGGCAGACACTGTGAAAATCTTTGTAGTCATAAGGACGCTGGCCATCTTTAATAGTCTCACAGAGGCTGTTGCACAAACTAGTGGCCCCTCTGCCTGTATGTCCTGAACTCCATATCTATAAGGATGGAATCCTCACCCTCACTTGATAAGACAGTTGATAATTCTTCATTCCCTGCTGAGACTGAAAAACAAAAGCATTTGTTAGAAGAATCAGCTTCATCCATTCATTGACATATGAAGTCCTCACACTTCCTTCTGAGCAAGAATATTTGGACAGTATTTCGGAGGAATGTCTTGTCTCTTAAATGGAAGGATTTGTACCTCCCACCCCGACTAAGCCTAGCAAGATAATTCTTGGCCAAGACCAAAGCTGCCCCAAGAGGAACCAGATACCCTGTACACACATGAACCACCTGTATATTCACTCTTTCACTCAATATATGTTTATCGGGTGCCTATCACATACCACACCCCGTGAGAGGTGCCAGGAATACTGGGAAGAGCACAAAAGACAAAGCCTTTGCCTTAGGCACTAGCTCAGGTGATGTTGGGCTCTACACCTGGTCGCTACATTCCTTGACAATTAATTTCCTCAATGCCCTGAACTTCAACTCATCCTTTCTATGGGGCTTACGATGCTGGACGTGATGTGTATGACAAAGGCTCATGATGCTGGCTGGGACACATACGACAACATACGATGACTCACACTAAAGTTTCATTGTTTTAACTCACAGCTCACTGGCCTGCCAGATGACATGGTTGGGTGACCAGGGTCTTCTGGGGAGAGATCTGTTGGAAAAACACAGAGAAATTGACCCATGACGCTTCATACTGAACAGGGCTCTTTTTAACCTGCTACCCTAATACAAGCTTATTCAAAATGGAAAATTTTAAAAGGAGCATTTTTCCAGACTTGAAAGGCTATGTATGGGATGAATCCCTCTACGTGAAATATCCAGAATGGTAAATCTGCAGGGACAGGGGACAACAGCTAGGGATAGGAGGAAGAGTTGTGACAAGTCAGACTTGGCTACTTTCTAACAGTGTGGGGCAGAGGACCCCGTCCTTGAACCGCAGCATTCCGCCAAACACAAGGTAGGGAAGGCCACACTCACTGCCCGCTGATGGCGTCACCTCTCTTCTAAAAGCTTCACACAGATTCTCTGACTTTACCCTTATAACAACTCGTCCAAGTAAGTGGGTGGGTGTCCCTATGTTTCAAATAAGGTTATTGAAGTGAAAGGAGGAAAGAGAAAACCATGAGCTCACACAGATGGGAGGTGGCAGCAATGGAGCCAACAGGCAGACCAGTTGTCGGCTTTGAACACCACACCATCAGCATGATAGACATGTCTCCTGGATTTCAAACACAGCCTTACTTATTCCCTTGGACACAAGAGCTAAGAATTGTTTATGTTCTCTCTCTCTCTCTCTCATTAATTTCAAGAGTGAATAGAAGCATGCAAACTTGGAATAGCCTAGAGTTGTTACATTGAAAGCACATCAGCAAACAGGTGCACAGTCACTGTTCTTGTCACTCTGTGTGTGTGTGTGTGTGTGTGTGTGTGTGTGTGCAACTGAAGACAATGCTGAAAAATGAGAAATATGGATTCTGTCCCCAAAAAGTGACATGCCACTGGGAAATAGGAAACACACACACACACACACACACACACACACACACACACACACACACCCCTATGTGGGAAAGTAATGAGAGCTGAAGAGGAGCGCCTCCTGCAGAGGCAATGGACAAGCGGGCTGGGAAGCAGTGAGTGCAGCCCCAAAGTGAGCTCCTTTTGCTCTTGGCCTCTTTATCCCAATGAATCTTCCTGGTTTCTGAATGGCAACATGCCTAGTTTTGTTATTTTTTTTTTTAGATTTATACATTTTTATTTGAAAGTCAGAGAGAAGGATAGCACACAGAGATTTTCTGTCTTCCAGTTCACTGTCCAAATAGCTACAACGGCCTGAGCTAGGCTGATCTAAAGCCAGGAGCCAAGAACGTCTGGGTCTCCCACGTGGCTGCAGACGCCCAAGGACTTGAGCCATGTTCCATGGCTTTCCCAGGCACATCAGCAGGGAGGTGGATTAGATTGGAAGTGCAGCAGCTGGGCTCAAACTGGTACCCATATATAATACTGGCACCACAGACAGAGGCTTACCCTCCCATGCCATGGTGCTGGCACTGTGTAGTCCATATTTTCAGTAGCTAATGGGATTTCAGTGTGTGATATGGACAGTTAAGAATAGTCCAAGATTAAACTCTAGTATTCTAAAGTCAGATTGTTTTTGTTATCTTGCAATCAACTTTGGGTATAATATTTAACCTATCTAAGTATGTGCTTTTTCATTTGGAAAATGAGATTATACAAGTTCTTTCCGGCTGTGAGCAGGATTAGATAAGAAAATCCACACAAGGAATTCACATAGTGATAAACAAGACGTAAGGCAACGCTGTTTTATAGAAATCTAGTGTTAGACACATGTGTAATTTAAAAATTTTTGGTACCCATGCTTTAAAGAGTAGAAATGGGTGATTCACTTTAATGTTTCTTATTTCATCGAACATATCTAAAATAGTATAGTGTCAGCGTGTAGCCTATATTAAAATGTCAGTAACAAGTTTAACCTTATTTGTCATAGGACTAACTCTTTTTGAAAAAAACATTACTGACATATGGTTGATATATTCCCTAAACTGAACCTACTATGAGCAATTTATTGGTTTGGTCTGACTCATACCCTCCAACACGGTCAATGAAGGAAACCCATCTACCGCTCTAGGACTTTCCTCTGTCCTGTTGTGTGTGCAGCAAGAATGCTTTCACAAGCTCTATCCCCATAACACATTTTTTTTTCTGCACAATCCTGCTAGTCATGGGACCCCACACTGAACAGCAGGTCCACAGAACTGATTTATCTGTGCAGTCCTCCATGTCCTTATGGCTTTAGATTTGGGGTGCATTTGACATACGTGGTACATCTCAGTTCTGTCAGCTGTGATTCAAGGACTCAGAGAAACATGGATAGTCCAGGGCCTCAGTAATATTTTTTTTCCAGCTTTAAGGCTTACTAAAGATTATCATTGGCCTCATTGGAATATGATTTATACGATAGTGTAATTGTAACGTTAGCAGTTACAGATGGAGTGGAGATATCATCCATCAGTAGGACGATGAGGTGAAAAAAGACTAACCATACTAGTCCCCCTGCCTGCCATGACTAGCAAAGGGGGCACAATAGCTCCAGAACAGAATCACGTTTTAAGAGACAGATTTGCTTATTTTATTTGAAAGGGACTTACTGAGGAAGAGGTCTTCTGTCTACTGGTCCACTTACTAACTGGCTACAATACCGGGCCTGGCCCAGGCCCAAACCGGAAGTCAGGAGCTTTACTCGGATCATTC